CTCTCTTGTGCTCTTTCAATGTAGCATGGGCTCTCTCTTGTGCTCTTCCAATGTAGCATGGGCTCTCTCTTGTGCTCTTTCAATGTAGCATGGGCTCTCTCTTGTGCTCTTTCAATGTAGCATGGGCTCTCTCTTGTGCTCTTTCAATGTAGCATGGGCTCTCTCTTGTGCTCTTTCAATGTAGCATGGGCTCTCTCTTGTGCTCTTTCAATGTAGCATGGGCTCTCTCTTGTGCTCTTTCAATGTAGCATGGGCTCTCTCTTGTGCTCTTTCAATGTAGCATGGGCTCTCTCTTGTGCTCTTTCAATGTAGCATGGGCTCTCTCTTGTGCTCTTTCAATGTAGCATGGGCTCTCTCTTGTGCTCTTTCAATGTAGCTTGGGCTCTCTCTTGTGCTCTTTCAATGTAGCATGGGCTCTCTCTTGTGCTCTTTCAATGTAGCATGGGCTCTCTCTTGTGCTCTTTCAATGTAGCATGGGCTCTCTCTTGTGCTCTTTCAATGTAGCATGGGCTCTCTCTTGTGCTCTTTCAATGTAGCATGGGCTCTCTCTTGTGCTCTTTCAATGTAGCATGGGCTCTCTCTTGTGCTCTTTCAATGTAGCATGGGCTCTCTCTTGTGCTCTTTCAATGCAGCATGGGCTCTCTCTTGTGCTCTTTCAATGCAGCATGGGCTCTCTCTTGTGCTCTTTCAATGCAGCATGGGCTCTCTCTTGTGCTCTTTCAATGCAGCATGGGCTCTCTCTTGTGCTCTTTCAATGTAGCATGGGCTCTCTCTTGTGCTCTTTCAATGTAGCATGGGCTCTCTCTTGTGCTCTTTCAATGTAGCATGGGCTCTCTCTTGTGCTCTTTCAATGTAGCATGGGCTCTCTCTTGTGCTCTTTCAATGTAGCATGGGCTCTCTCTTGTGCTCTTTCAATGTAGCATGGGCTCTCTCTTGTGCTCTTTCAATGTAGCATGGGCTCTCTCTTGTGCTCTTTCAATGTAGCATGGGCTCTCTCTTGTGCTCTTTCAATGTAGCATGGGCTCTCTCTTGTGCTCTTTCAATGTAGCATGGGCTCTCTCTTGTGCTCTTTCAATGTAGCATGGGCTCTCTCTTGTGCTCTTTCAATGTAGCATGGGCTCTCTCTTGTGCTCTTTCAATGTAGCATGGGCTCTCTCTTGTGCTCTTTCAATGTAGCATGGGCTCTCTCTTGTGCTCTTTCAATGTAGCATGGGCTCTCTCTTGTGCTCTTTCAATGTAGCATGGGCTCTCTCTTGTGCTCTTTCAATGTAGCATGGGCTCTCTCTTGTGCTCTTTCAATGTAGCATGGGCTCTCTCTTGTGCTCTTTCAATGTAGCATGGGCTCTCTCTTGTGCTCTTTCAATGTAGCATGGGCTCTCTCTTGTGCTCTTTCAATGTAGCATGGGCTCTCTCTTGTGCTCTTTCAATGTAGCATGGGCTCTCTCTTGTGCTCTTTCAATGTAGCATGGGCTCTCTCTTGTGCTCTTTCAATGTAGCATGGGCTCTCTCTTGTGCTCTTTCAATGTAGCATGGGCTCTCTCTTGTGCTCTTTCAATGTAGCATGGGCTCTCTCTTGTGCTCTTTCAATGTAGCATGGGCTCTCTCTTGTGCTCTTTCAATGTAGCATGGGCTCTCTCTTGTGCTCTTTCAATGTAGCATGGGCTCTCTCTTGTGCTCTTTCAATGTAGCATGGGCTCTCTCTTGTGCTCTTTCAATGTAGCATGGGCTCTCTCTTGTGCTCTTTCAATGTAGCATGGGCTCTCTCTTGTGCTCTTTCAATGTAGCATGGGCTCTCTCTTGTGCTCTTTCAATGTAGCATGGGCTCTCTCTTGTGCTCTTTCAATGTAGCATGGGCTCTCTCTTGTGCTCTTTCAATGTAGCATGGGCTCTCTCTTGTGCTCTTTCAATGTAGCATGGGCTCTCTCTTGTGCTCTTTCAATGTAGCATGGGCTCTCTCTTGTGCTCTTTCAATGTAGCATGGGCTCTCTCTTGTGCTCTTTCAATGTAGCATGGGCTCTCTCTTGTGCTCTTTCAATGTAGCATGGGCTCTCTCTTGTGCTCTTTCAATGTAGCATGGGCTCTCTCTTGTGCTCTTTCAATGTAGCATGGGCTCTCTCTTGTGCTCTTTCAATGTAGCATGGGCTCTCTCTTGTGCTCTTTCAATGTAGCATGGGCTCTCTCTTGTGCTCTTTCAATGTAGCATGGGCTCTCTCTTGTGCTCTTTCAATGTAGCATGGGCTCTCTCTTGTGCTCTTTCAATGTAGCATGGGCTCTCTCTTGTGCTCTTTCAATGTAGCATGGGCTCTCTCTTGTGCTCTTTCAATGTAGCATGGGCTCTCTCTTGTGCTCTTTCAATGTAGCATGGGCTCTCTCTTGTGCTCTTTCAATGTAGCATGGGCTCTCTCTTGTGCTCTTTCAATGTAGCATGGGCTCTCTCTTGTGCTCTTTCAATGTAGCATGGGCTCTCTCTTGTGCTCTTTCAATGTAGCATGGGCTCTCTCTTGTGCTCTTTCAATGTAGCATGGGCTCTCTCTTGTGCTCTTTCAATGTAGCATGGGCTCTCTCTTGTGCTCTTTCAATGTAGCATGGGCTCTCTCTTGTGCTCTTTCAATGTAGCATGGGCTCTCTCTTGTGCTCTTTCAATGTAGCATGGGCTCTCTCTTGTGCTCTTTCAATGTAGCATGGGCTCTCTCTTGTGCTCTTTCAATGTAGCATGGGCTCTCTCTTGTGCTCTTTCAATGTAGCATGGGCTCTCTCTTGTGCTCTTTCAATGTAGCATGGGCTCTCTCTTGTGCTCTTTCAATGTAGCATGGGCTCTCTCTTGTGCTCTTTCAATGTAGCATGGGCTCTCTCTTGTGCTCTTTCAATGTAGCATGGGCTCTCTCTTGTGCTCTTTCAATGTAGCATGGGCTCTCTCTTGTGCTCTTTCAATGTAGCATGGGCTCTCTCTTGTGCTCTTTCAATGCAGCATGGGCTCTCTCTTGTGCTCTTTCAATGCAGCATGGGCTCTCTCTTGTGCTCTTTCAATGCAGCATGGGCTCTCTCTTGTGCTCTTTCAATGCAGCATGGGCTCTCTCTTGTGCTCTTTCAATGTAGCATGGGCTCTCTCTTGTGCTCTTTCAATGTAGCATGGGCTCTCTCTTGTGCTCTTTCAATGTAGCATGGGCTCTCTCTTGTGCTCTTTCAATGTAGCATGGGCTCTCTCTTGTGCTCTTTCAATGTAGCATGGGCTCTCTCTTGTGCTCTTTCAATGTAGCATGGGCTCTCTCTTGTGCTCTTTCAATGTAGCATGGGCTCTCTCTTGTGCTCTTTCAATGTAGCATGGGCTCTCTCTTGTGCTCTTTCAATGTAGCATGGGCTCTCTCTTGTGCTCTTTCAATGTAGCATGGGCTCTCTCTTGTGCTCTTTCAATGTAGCATGGGCTCTCTCTTGTGCTCTTTCAATGTAGCATGGGCTCTCTCTTGTGCTCTTTCAATGTAGCATGGGCTCTCTCTTGTGCTCTTTCAATGTAGCATGGGCTCTCTCTTGTGCTCTTTCAATGTAGCATGGGCTCTCTCTTGTGCTCTTTCAATGTAGCATGGGCTCTCTCTTGTGCTCTTTCAATGTAGCATGGGCTCTCTCTTGTGCTCTTTCAATGTAGCATGGGCTCTCTCTTGTGCTCTTTCAATGTAGCATGGGCTCTCTCTTGTGCTCTTTCAATGTAGCATGGGCTCTCTCTTGTGCTCTTTCAATGTAGCATGGGCTCTCTCTTGTGCTCTTTCAATGTAGCATGGGCTCTCTCTTGTGCTCTTTCAATGTAGCATGGGCTCTCTCTTGTGCTCTTTCAATGTAGCATGGGCTCTCTCTTGTGCTCTTTCAATGTAGCATGGGCTCTCTCTTGTGCTCTTTCAATGTAGCATGGGCTCTCTCTTGTGCTCTTTCAATGTAGCATGGGCTCTCTCTTGTGCTCTTTCAATGTAGCATGGGCTCTCTCTTGTGCTCTTTCAATGTAGCATGGGCTCTCTCTTGTGCTCTTTCAATGTAGCATGGGCTCTCTCTTGTGCTCTTTCAATGTAGCATGGGCTCTCTCTTGTGCTCTTTCAATGTAGCATGGGCTCTCTCTTGTGCTCTTTCAATGTAGCATGGGCTCTCTCTTGTGCTCTTTCAATGTAGCATGGGCTCTCTCTTGTGCTCTTTCAATGTAGCATGGGCTCTCTCTTGTGCTCTTTCAATGTAGCATGGGCTCTCTCTTGTGCTCTTTCAATGTAGCATGGGCTCTCTCTTGTGCTCTTTCAATGTAGCATGGGCTCTCTCTTGTGCTCTTTCAATGTAGCATGGGCTCTCTCTTGTGCTCTTTCAATGTAGCATGGGCTCTCTCTTGTGCTCTTTCAATGTAGCATGGGCTCTCTCTTGTGCTCTTTCAATGTAGCATGGGCTCTCTCTTGTGCTCTTTCAATGTAGCATGGGCTCTCTCTTGTGCTCTTTCAATGTAGCATGGGCTCTCTCTTGTGCTCTTTCAATGTAGCATGGGCTCTCTCTTGTGCTCTTTCAATGTAGCATGGGCTCTCTCTTGTGCTCTTTCAATGTAGCATGGGCGTCTTGAGAGCCTGAGAGCTTGAGAGCTTCAATGTAGCATGTGCTCTCTCATGCTCTCTTAGGTCCTGTCCTGATACTAGGAGTTTCCAGTGTCAGGTGATTTGTTAGTCGATTCAGAAATCACCTTAAGAGGCATGTGTCGCCATGTCCTGGTATGGCAAAGTAACATAGCCGATATGGAATTCATGCTATTAGTTTTCGGTTTCTCTCTCTCCCTGCCGTTTCATGTGTCCATTGGTCCGCCGCCACCCCCGCCTCTGTCGAACTCTCCTTGTCATTGAATAAACAAGGCATTACAGATGTATGAGGTAAGCAAGGCTCAACGTCTACTTGAATTTTCTCCTGCTGCTTGCTGTTTGCTCTGTTCGCTCCCAGTGGTCTCCCAGGGACCATGAGCTGGCGTTCCACAAGAGGCATCACACCACCGCCACATGGCTGTTATAGATGCCAACTACCACTGAGTGTTGGTTCTCCCCCTCCCCCTCCCCCTCCCCCTCCCCCTTTCGCTCCCGCTCCCGCTCCCGCTTTCGCTCGCAGTTGTCTCCCAGGGACCACGAGCTGGCGTTCCACAAGAGGCATCACAACGCCTCATTGCTGCTGTTACCACTGCCAGACTATCAAGTCCCAGTTGGCCCCATCCCTCTCCCGCTACCTCTCCCTCTCCCCCTCCCGCTCGCAGTTTTCTCCCAGGGACCACGAGCTGGCGTTCCACAAGAAGCATCACAACGCCTCATTGCTGTTAGGGCTGCTAGACTATCAAGTGCCAGTTGTCCCTCTCTCCCTCTGCCTCTCTTTTCCTCTGCCTTCGCCCAGCTGTCTCCCAGGGACCACGAGCTTGCGTTCCACAAGAAGCATCACAACTGGGAGCTTCGCCAGTGGAGAGACGTCTCGGTGAGCTGCTTCCCTCCCGCTTGCTGCCTGCTGCTTGCTGCTTGCTTCTTGCTGTGTTTGCCACTTGCTGCTTTCTTCTTATTAGCTGCTACTTACTGCTTTGCTCTGTTTTCTCCTTGCCGCGTGCCGCTTGCTGCTAACTTATTGTTGCTTGGTGCTGTTGTGTGCTTCTTGCTCCTTGCTGCTTGCTGCTTACTCTTTTTGCCAGTTTTGTCAAGACTCCCTTTCAGTTTGAAACTTCAGCACTGTATCTCCCAATATACAATTTGTTGATTAAGAGACAATTCTTGAGGCGCCTCAAAACTCCTCTGGGGATGAGAAGAGCGAGTGAGGGGATAAGACTTTTGAGACATCTCAAACGGAGCCTTAAAACTCCTATGATGATGAGAAGAGTGAGGGGATAGGCCAACTTGTTGACCACTGCTCCTCCCCCTCGTCGTAGCCCCTCTGACTGCCTCTCTTGCTGAACCTCCCCTCTCGTTCCCGGCTGCCTCTCTCCGTTTCACCCTCCTCCTCCTTTATGTCAACCCCTCTGAGCTCATTATGATGGGGTTGCCTCACCGTGTCCATCTTCCCTCGCCCCTTATTCCGTCACCCTCGCCCCTCCGCCACCAACTCTCACCCCTCGCCCCTCACCCCTCGCCCCTCACCCCTCGCCCCTCATCCATCACCATGTCTGTCTTTCCATCCGCTTTCATATCGTGAGGCAGCCTCATCATAATGAGCTTAGAGGGTTAGGCATAAAGGGAGGAGGAGGGTAAAACTAAGAGAGGCAGCAAGGCACGAGAGAGGGGGTTCAGCAAGAGGGGCAGTGAGGGGGGCTGAGGCGAGGGGGATGAGCAGTAGTCAAAAAGCGTGTTTTTTGAGAATTCTCGCAGTAGTCAAAAAGCGTGTTTTTTGAGAATTCTCGCAGTAGTCAAAAAGCTGGCCCATCTTCGCAGTAGTCAAAAAGCTGGCCCATCTTCGCAGTAGTCAAAAAGCTGGCCCATCTTCTCAGTAGTACAACACAGCGCCTCCCTCAAACCCCTTTTCTCTATCTGCCTCTGTCCGCCTCTCCTCAGCCCCGCTTTTTAACTCGTCATGACTAGCCTCCCAGGTGATGTGAAGACTACATGCTGCACCCGGCCTCTCTGCCTTCCTCTCTTGCCCCATCCGCCTCTCTTTTTTTCCCTCTCCATTCCCTTCCCCCCTTCCTGGCTCCCCTCTCAGCTGATCATGACAGGGTTACCAGATGACGTGAAGACAGACGACATATAGCAGTTCTTTGAAGACTACATGCTCCACCCGCCCTCTCTGTGTGCCCTTCCCTCTCTCCTACATGATGTCAAAAGGGACGACATAGAGCAGTTTTTTTTAGGACCACATGCTGCACCGCACCCACCCGTCCCTTCTCACCTCCACCTCTCTCTGTCTGTCTTCGTTCCTCTTTCCTCACCCCTCTCAGCTGATCATGACAGGGTTGCCAGACGATGTCAAGACGGACGACATAGAGCAGCTCTTTCAAGTCCACATGCCGCACCCGCCCTCTCTGCCTATGGTGTATCTCTTCCTCCCTCTCCATTTCCTCAGCTCATCCTGACAGGCCTCCCAGACGATGTCAAGACGGACGACATAGAGCAGTTCTTTGAAGACTACATGCTGCACCCGCCCGCCGTGTACCACGTCAGGATGTGAGTCTGCCACGTCAGGATGTGAGTCTGCCACGTCAGGATGTGATTCTGCCACGTCAGGATGTGAGGCTGCCACGTCAGGATGTGAGTTTGCCACGTCAGGACGTTAGTTTGCCACGCCAGGATGTGAGTTTGCCACGCCAGGATGTGAGTTTGCCACGTCAGGATGTGATCATCCCATTCCCCTCTTCCTTCTCCCCTTCTCCGCTTTATTACCCCTTCTACGCTTCTCCCCCATCTTGCCTTCTCCTGCGTGCTCCTTCCCCCGTCCCTCCCCCCCCTTTCTCCTTCCCCATGGCAGAGAACGGAGAGGAGTCCCCACCCCTATGCGGCTGTGCATGAACGGGGAGACGCAGCCGATAGTGGACCTCGCGGAGCGCCGTGGGTAATAACCCGCTCTCTGTTCCCTCTCTTCCACGTCTCCTTTCCCCATCACCAGAGAACGGAGAGGCGTCCCCACGCCCATTAGGCTGTGCATGAAGGGCGAGACGCGGCCGATAGTGGACCTCATGGAGCATAAGGGGTGCTGCTCTCCTCTCTGCCTTGCCCCATTCCCCTCTACTCCCTCTCCCTTCATATGGCAGAGAACGGAGAGGCGTCCCCACGCCCATGAGGCTGCGCATGAAGGGCGAGACGCAGCCGATAGTGGACCTCATGGAGTGCCGTGCCATGGTGGTGCTGCTCTCTGCCTTACCCCTCCTTCGCCTTTCTCCTCCCATCACCAGAGAACGGAGAGGCGTCCCCACGCCCATGAGGCTGCGCATGAAGGGCGAGACGCGGCCGATAGTGGACCTCGTGGAGCGCCGTGCCGTCGTGCGATTCGCCAACCAGATGGAAGCGCTGAGAGCGTTGAGGGAGAAGCATAGGGAGTTCGTGGGGGACCGAATGGTGGAGCTCAGCCTTCTACAGTGATGATTTTTCTCAATACAGAACTCACAGCCAGTTAGCGGGTTCTTTTAGTCGACTTAGAAATCACCTAGTGGAGCGCCGTGCCGTGGTGCGATTCGCAAACCAGTTGGAGGCACTGCGAGCACTAAGAGAGAAGCACCGGGAGTTCCTGGGCGACCGGATGGTGGAGCTCAGCCTTCCACAGTGATGCTGTATATTGAGACTCTCTAGAACACACTTCAGGTTTCGGGTTTAGGGTTAGTAGGAGCACTGTAGACCCATTGATTTCGTATCGAGAAACATCTCCAAACGGATCCTTTCATTTTACCGAAGGGAGGCACTGCGAGCACTGAGAGAGAAGCTGCAGGAGTTACAGTAATAGTTTCTTCAGGAACATTCTACTGCAGCCATGCAAGAAGGGCAGGGAAGGAAGAGTGCAGGATTGTATCTTGAAGGAGTTGTCTTGTTGCAGGTGTGCAGACTTAACAATGGCTGGATTAAATAGAGATTTGCCATACTGCACCAAACATTAGTCAGAGTACAGTAGATACTGTGCTCTAATGGTCGAGACTCGAGAACCACATGAGCTGCGGTTGCCACCCCGCTTTAATCTCATCTACACTCCTTCCTACCCGCATCTACACCCTTTCTCAAACTGTCACTACCAGCAAGCTTGTTGATCCAAAAGGGGCGACTGGGAGAGTTGGTGGGGCTATTGTTGCGCCAGTGGAAGTGGGAGGGGTAGAGGGAGCGAGAGGTGGTGAGGTGTGGAGGTAATGTAATGACTCAAATTCATAAGCTTCCCATTCATATATCACTACCGTATCAGTCAGTGTACAGCAAGTACTGCGCACGAATGGTTGAGAACCACATGAGCTGCGGTTGCCACCCCGCTTTGATCTCGTCTACACTCCTACCCGCATCTACACCCTTCCTCAGACTATCGCTCCCTGCAAGCTTATCAATCCAAAAGGGGCCGTTGGGAGAGGTGGTGGGGCTGTCGTTGCGCCAGTGGAAGTGGGAGGGGTAGAGGGCGCGAGCAGAAGAGAGGAGGATGAGAGCGAGACGGAGAGGATCGAACGCAGAAGGTTCTGTGACATGAATCTGGGGAGGGGAGTGTAGTGGGAAGAGGATACCGCATGAAAAAATGGGAGAGTGAAACCGAGTTGGTGGGGCTGTTGTTGCGCCAGTGGAAGTGGGAGGGGTAGAGGGGGCGAGCGGTGGTGAGGAGGATGCGGGCGAGACCAAGAGGATCGAAGGCAGCCGGGTCAGTGACATGGATCTGAGGAGAGGGGAGTGGGGGCAGTGAGAACAAAGGACAAGAGAGAAAAGTGGGAGGGGTAGAGGGAGCGAGCGGTGGTGAGGAGGATAAGGGCGAGACGTAGAGGATCGAAAGAGGCTGGGTCAGTGACGTGGATCTGACGAAGGGGGGTGGGGAAAATGGGAGGAATGGAAGAGTTGGTGGGGCTGTCGTTGCGCCAGTGGAAGTGGGAGGGGTAGAGGGAGCGAGCGGTGGCGAGAAGGATGACGGCGTGATGGAGAGGATCGAAGGAGGCCGGGTCGGTGACGTGGATCAGGGGAGAGGGATTGGGGAAAGTGGGAGGAAAGGACAAGAGAGAAAGAGAGCGTTGGTGGGGCTGTTGTTGCGCCAGTAGAAGTGGGAGGGGTAGAGGGGGCGAGATAGAGAGGGTCAAAGGATAAGAGTCGGTGACGTGGATCCGGGGAAGGGGAGTTGGGAAAAAGGGAGCAACGGGGAAGAGAGGGCTGGACATGGGGAGGGGAGTGGGAATGAGGGGTGCCATGAGAGAAGGTAAAGAAGGCTAAAGAATGGGGGGTGGTGAGTGGTGCGACGGGTAGGGTAAAGTATGGCGACGACAGATGTCCGTTGTCGCACTCGTACTTGATTGCTGCTGCGGATCGAAACCAACTGATTTCAACTTGTCGTACTCGTACTGCTGCAAATCTGTTTTGAGAGAGCAGCTCACCTCGATCCTGCACACTTGCTTCCCAGAGTATTTGCCGGCAACAGGGGAGAAGGAGGCTTCTCAGATGGCACATCCCGGGCACCGTTGATCCCAGGTACGGCTGCCTATCTGTTTTGAGAGAGCAGCTCACCTCAATCCCACAAACTTGCTTTCCAATGTACTTCCCGGCAACAGGGGAGAAAAAGGCTTCTCAGATGGCACATCCCGGGCACCGTTGATCCCAGGTACGGCTGCCTATCTGTTTTGAGAGAGCAGCTCACCTCGATACCGCACACTTGTTTCCCAGAGTGTTTGCCGGCAACAGGAGAGAAGAAGGCTTCTCGGATGGCACATCCTGGGCACCGTTGATCCCAGGTACTGCTGCCTATCTGTTTTGAGAGAGCAGCTCACCTCAATCCCACAAACTTGCTTTCCAATGTACTTCCCGGCAACAGGGGAGAAAAAGGCTTCTCTGATGGCACATCCCGGGCACCGTTGACTGCTGCCTATCTGTTTTGAGAGAGCAGCTCACCTCGATACCGCACACTTGTTTCCCAGAAAATTTGCCGGCAACAGGAGAGAAGTAGGCCTCCCTGATGGCACACCCTGGGCACCGTTGATCTCGCACTGCCTGGGCAAATCTATGGTCCATAAATGGAGCTCCGATCTGGGTGGAAGGCAAGGGGGAGGAGTGCAGAAAACGAAGGACAGAGTGAGGTGGGATGAGAAGGGAGGGGGAAGAAGAGGGGAAATGAAGGGAAGGGTGCTGCGATCTGGGTGGAAGGCAGGGAGGACAAGCTTTTTTAAAGACTGATCAGTAATGGGAACACATGGCAAGGACAGGGTTGAGATGTCTTTTCGAGGACTTTTGAGACATCTCAACGATTTTCAAACATCAGTTCGTGTCAACTGGAAGGACAGGGTTGATGAGCCGTCACATTCCATTCCATCACTGCACCCATTCCATTCCAACACAGTGTGCAGTGCTGCCCATTGCAGTCCATTCTGTAGAGAGGGTGTTTGAGATGTCTCAACAACACCCTCTCTACACGTTGCCCCGTCGCTGTACACTTCCATTACATCACATTGTGCTGCCAATTGCAATCCGCGTTCTGTTCCACCGCATGCCTATGTGGTGATCGCTTTTAAGGCGCCTCAAAGGTCACATGCTTATGTGATTGCCTACCAGCTGGAAGGGCAGAGTTGCCCCGTCGCTGCACACTTCCATTCCATCCCAGCGTGCTGCGCTGCCCATTGCAATCCGCTTTCAGTTCCACCGCATGCCCATGCGGGCACTGTAGCAGAGTTGCCCCGTCGCTGCACACTTCCATTCCATCCCAGCGTGTTGCGCTGCCCATCGCAATCCGTTCTGTGCTTTTGAGTGGACTTTTGAGTCTGCTTGTGAGTCGACTTTTGAGTCTGCTTTTGAATCGACTCAAAAGGAGAGTTGCCCCGTCACTGTACACTTCCATTCCATCCCAGCGTGCTCTGCTGCCCATTGCAATCCATTCTGTTCCACCGCATGCCTATGTGGTGATCGCCTGTGAGGCGCCTCAAGAGTCAGTCACATGCTTATGTGATTGCCTACCAGCTGGAAGGGCAAAGTTGTGCCGAAAATTTTAACCGACTCAAGTTTCAGGCAGGGTTGAGCTGTCAGCCTGTCACTGCACCCATTCCGCGTGCTGCCCACTTCATTCATACCACGACCACATGCTTATGTGATTGCTCACCACTTTTGAGGCACCTTTTCAAAAATACCACGACCACATGCTTATGTGATTGCCTACCAGCTGGAAGGGCAGAGTTGTGCCGCGGCCTTCACTCAGGTTGGTCCCCTGGCGAGCAAGAAGTTAGGAAAGGGTGTTGGGAGGGATTTTCGAATCAATATTTATCAGGGCCTCACAGTTGAAATCACTGAAAGATAGGTGTGATATTTGAGAGTGTCACAAGGGCTCGTGCAAGAAAGAATGCATGCAAGGCGATGGGATGGGATGGGATGGGATGGGACGGGATGGGATGGGATGGGATGGGATGGGATGGGATGGGATGGGATGGGATGGGATGGGATGGGATGGGATGGGATGGGATGGGATGGGATGGGATGGGATGGGATGGGATGAGATGGGATGGGACGGGACGGGACGGGATGGGATGGTCGAGGAGAATCAGCAATTGAGGCTAGTGAGTCAAGCTTTTGAGTCGACTTAAAAGCTGATTCAAGCGGAGAAAGGGGGCAGGGGAAGAATCTACGAACAGCTACATATGTTACATACACATTGCACTTGCAGGGGATTTTACATATCCACTTGCTTCATTAGAATCAAGCAAGTGGATGTGTATGTATGTAACACACGTAACAAGCACACACACTGCATGAGCAACCCACACAGCACGACCAGACCTGCATGAATTACAAGCACATCTCGTCCTGACAAACCACACTTCATGAGCACGCCATCGTGACTACTTTTAAGGCGCCTCAAAAGCCACTTCATGAGCATGCCATCGTGACTACTTTTAAGGCGCCTCAAAAGCCACTTCATGAGCACCCATCGTGAATCGCGAGCAAGCATACCTTTGTGAGACACACGAGCTGGCTTTTGAGTCGACTCAAAAGTCACTTCATGAGCCATCGTGACTACTTTTGAGGCACTGCAAAAGCATGACATCGTGAATCGCGAGCAAGCATACCTTCGTGAGACACACGCCAGCATAGACGAGAGCAGTGGTGGGTGTGGTGCGGGCATGTTGGGCGACGGTGGGACCCGGACAGCGTCTCAACCACACCTCACTCATACTCACAAGCAGTGGTGGGCATGGGCAGGGCATGCCAGGCGGCATTTGTTCGGACCCACACACAGCCTCTCCACCACACCTCTTACTCACATAGGACAAGCACACCTGTGCACACTGCACAGCACATAAACCACACCTCATACTCACACAGCACACATCTGAGCACACAACACCTCTATCTAAGCACACCCCTATGACGCAAGTCCCAGTGTACACAAGAGCAGTGGTGGGTGCGGGAATGTTGGGCGACGGTGGGTGGGACCCCTGGCATCTTTGCCACACCTCATTCATACTCACACATTGTACAAGCACAACTGAGCACACGCACACTCCAACGCATGACTTTTGAGTCGACTCAAAAGTCGACTCAGTACAAGCACACCTCAGCACACGCACACTCCAACGCATGACCATACCTTAAACAGGCAAGTGCCAGCGTAGACGAGCACAGTGGTGGGTGTGCGCATGTTGGTTTTTGAGACGTCTAGTTTTGAGACGTCTCAAAGCACACTCCAACGCATGACCATACCTCAATCAGGCACGTGCCAGTGTAGACGAGCGCAGTGGTGGGTGTGGTGCGGGCATGCTGGGAGTAAAAGGTGAGTTTTTGAGACGTCTCAGCAACTCAATCAGGCACGTGCCAGCGTAGACGAGCGCAGTGGTGGGTGGGTGTGGGCATGTTGGGCGACGGTGGGACCCACAGCAGCAGCTGTAGGGTAGCGCTGTCGGCACTGTAGCACTTGCACTGCACACATGAGCGTGTACCATCATACACCAACCAAAAGACGAGCATACCTCTATGAGGCATGTCCCAGCATAGACGAGAGCAGTGGTGGGTGTGGGCATGTTGGGCGACGGTGGGACCCACAGCAGCAGCTGTAGCGCCGTGGGCACTGTTGCACTTGGTGCTGTAGCTTCTGCAGCTGTAGCAGAAGAGAGTAAAGCAGAGACTGTAGCGGGTGGGCTTATAGATGACAATGGTGGTGCTTCTCGAGAGATGTTTTGCTGCTGGCTGGAAGCTGGTAACAGCGTGGCGGACGGGGAAGGGGAAAGGGGAGGGAGTGGGGAAGGGGAAGGAGGAGGGGCGGAGACAGGGCCAGAGGAACGAGTGCCAGGTGAAGCGGGAGGGAGGAGAGGTTGAGGGTAGGGGAAGAAAGGGAAGAATGGGGAGGAGGAGCGAGTCCAGCCTTCCATCTGAACCACTTCAAGCTTAAACGCGGGGGGGAAGGGAATACTGCAGGCGCTGCTGCTTATGCCACCACTGGTGCTGCTAGTGCCGGTGCTGCTGTTGCTGCTGACAGTGGTTGTGGCATTTGTGGCGGAGGCAGAGAGGTGAGAGTTGGCAAGGCGGGCGAGTTGAGGATCAGCTGGTAGGAACTCTGAGAAGAAAAGCAGCGAGAGCTCTCCCACTGTCATGCCGTGGCGTAGAGGGATGGCCTGAGATGGAAGAGGAGAGAGATGAAACGGGGACAGCAGACAGCGGCAGAGGCAGAGGCAGAGGCAGAGAGGTGGGAGTTGACAAGCAGGGCAAGGAGGGGATCAGGTGGGAGGAACTCGAAGACGAGTTTTGAGTCGACTCAAAACTCAACTCGACTCACTACCCGAGAGGTGGGAGTTGACAAGCAGGGCAAGGAGGGGATCAGGTGGGAGGAACTCGGAGACGAGTTTTGAGTCGACTCAAAACTCAACTCGACTCACTACACGAGAGGTGGGAGTTGACAAGCAGGGCAAGAGGGGATCAGGTGGGAGGAACTCGAAGACGAGTTTTGAGTCGACTCAAAACTCAACTCGACTCACTACACGAGAGGTGGGAGTTGACAAGCAGGGCAAGGAGGGGATCAGGTGGGAGGAACTCGGAGACGAGTTTTGAGTCGACTCAAAACTCAACTCGACTCACTACCCGAGAGGTGGGAGTTGACAAGCAGGGCAAGGAGGGGATCAGGTGGGAGGAACTCGAAGACGAGTTTTGAGTCGACTCAAAACTCAACTCGACTCACTACACGAGAGGTGGGAGTTGACAAGCAGGGCAAGGAGGGGATCAGGTGGGAGGAACTCGAAGACGAGTTTTGAGTCGCCTCAAAACTCAACTCGACTCACTACCCGAGAGGTGGGAGTTGACAAGCAGGGCAAGAGGGGATCAGGTGGGAGGAACTCGAAGACGAGTTTTGAGTCGACTCAAAACTCAACTCGACTCACTACACGAGAGGTGGGAGTTGACAAGCAGGGCAAGAGGGGATCAGGTGGGAGGAACTCAAAGACGAGTTTTGAGTCGACTCAAAACTCAACTCGACTCACTACACGAGAGGTGGGAGCTGACAAGCAGGGCAAGGAGGGGATCAGGTGGGAGGAACTCGGAGAAGAAGAGCAGCGAGAGCTCTCCCACTGTCATGCCGTGACGCAGAGGTATGGCATGAAGGGGGGACAGGGGAAAGTGGGGGCAGAAGGCAGAGGCCAACCCATGGGCAGAGAGGTGAGTGTTGCATGGAGAAGATGGAAGGTGGCGGGAGGTGAGTGTTGCATGGAGAAGATGGAAGGTGGCGGGAGGTGAGTGTTGCATGGAGAAGATGGAAGGTGGCGGGAGGTGAGTGTTGCGTGGAGAAGATGGAAGGTGGCGGGAGGTGAGTGTTGCATGGAGAAGCCCGGGAGGGTGGGAAAGGGGGGGAAGGTGGCGGGAGGTGAGCAAAAAGAAGCCCGGGAGGGTGGGAAAGAGGGGGGGGGTGGGCGGGCAATAAGGGGAAGGGGGCACCGCGGGTGTGAGCTGAGCTCTCGCACTGTCATGCTGTGGTGCAGCGGGAGGGGATGGCCCGTCCATCCACCACGCCTCCCATCCCAGCAGGTTGGGTGTGTGGAACACGAGGATATGGCGGATGGAGGGGGAGAGGGATGGTACAAGCATGGTACTGGGGCCCTACTGACCTTGCTTTTTGAGTCGACTCAAAAGTCGATGGTACAAGCATGGTACTGGGGCTCTACTGACCTTCCTGCCAACGAAGGAGGCGTGTTGGGGGGGCTCCGTGACTGGCCCGTCCACCAGCACGCCTCCCAGCGGGTTGGGTCTATCGAGCACAAGAGAGCTGCAACTCAACCTATCTCCCCAGCAATATGCGGGTTTCTCAAAAGGGAAGCAAGTATGCACCTTTCTCCCAACAAAGGAGGCGTGTTGGGGCTCTGTGACTGGCCCATTCACCACCACTCCTCCCAGTGGGTTGGGTGTGTCGAGCACGAGGAAGGAAGCAAGTGCTGTGACACACGTGCTGGCTGGCAGGGATGATACATGGTACGGTGGGAGGGAGTTACACACCTTCCTCCCAACGAAGGAGGCGTGTTGAGGCTCTGTTATTGGCCCATCCACCACCACGCCTCCCAACGGGTTTGGTCTATTGAGCACGAGGAAGCGAGTGATAGAAGGGGAGAGGGCACCTGCCACGAGGCAGTAGTACTAACCTTCCTGCCGACAAATGAAGCGTGTTGAGGCTCTGTGACTGGCCCGTCTACCACCACTCCTCCCAGTGGGTTGGGTCTATCAAGCACGAGGACGCGACGAATGGAGGGGGAGAGTGCAGCTGCAACGAGGCAGTAGCCTTCCTGCCGACAAATGAAGCGTGTTGAGGCTCTGTGACTGGCCCGTCTACCACCACTCCTCCCAGTGGGTTGGGTCTATCGAGCACGAGGACGCGAGTGATAGAAGAGAGAGGGATGGTGCATGGTAGGGGAGCACTACACACCTTCCTGCCAACAAATGAAGCGTGTTGAGGCTCTGTTATTGGCCCATCCACCACCATCCCTCCGAGCGGGTTCGGTCTATCGAGTACGAGGAAGCGGCGAATGGACGGGCAGAGGGCAGCTGCCACGAGGCAGTCGTAGAGCGTCCAGATGAATGTGTAGAAACGAGCCTGGGAAGAAATTATTGGAGAAAGGAAGGGGGGAGGAGAAGATTACAAGGGAGGGTGGAGAGACGGATGGAGGGGGAGAGAGCAGCTGCGACGAGGCAGGCAGCCATAGAGCGCCCAGATGAACGTGTAGAAGCGAGCCCGGTGCAGGAAGCAGCGTATTTTTGAGAATTCTAAAAAATACTCTGCAACATCAGAGAGCAGCTGCGACGAGGCAGCCATAGAGCTCCCAGATGAACGTGTAGAAGCGAGCCTGGGGGAGGGGGGGCCACATGGACGGGGGGTGGGGTGTCAAGCACGAGGAAACGGCGGATAGAAGGAGAGAGAGCAGCTGCGACGAGGCAGCCATAGAGCTCCCAGATGAACGTGTAGAAGCGAGCCTGGGGGAGGGGGGGCCACATGGACGGGGGGTGGGGTGTCAAGCACGAGGAAACGGCGGATAGAAGGAGAGAGAGCAGCTGCGACGAGGCAGCCATAGAGCTCCCAGATGAACGTGTAGAAGCGAGCCTGGGGGAGGGGGGGCCACATGGACGGGGGGTGGGGTGTCAAGCACGAGGAAACGGCGGATAGAAGGAGAGAGAGCAGCTGCGACGAGGCAGCCATAGAGCTCCCAGATGAACGTGTAGAAGCGAGCCCGCACAAAGCAGCGGCAAGGATAGCCCAGTACGCGAGCCTCGCTCACTCAAACTGCACTTCGTGTGCTCACAACAGCCCCCTCTGGACCGCACTGCACTCACCCCAACATCTTGAATGTCAAACACAATGGTATCAGCGCCAGAGGCTTCAAAACACTTGGCTATGGATGGGGGATCCTGGCGCACACGTCATACAAAGGGAGCAGCACAGGGGGGGAGGGTACATGGAAGGGTTGGCTAAAAACCTGATTGAAATTGTTGAGTTGACCTTTGAGACATACAAAGGGAGCAGCACAGGGGGGGAGGGTACATGGAAGGGTTGGCTAAAAACCTGATTGAAATTGTTGAGTTGACCTTTGAGACATACAAAGGGAGCAGCACAGGGGGGGAGGGTACATGGAAGGGTTGGCTAAAAACCTGATTGAAATTGTTGAGTTGACCTTTGAGACATACAAAGGGAGCAGCACAGGGGGGGAGGGTAGATGGAAGGGTTGGCTAAAAACCTGATTGTTGAGTTGACTTTTGAGACGTCTAAAAAGTCGGAAGAGCTGGCTAGGAACCTGATTGGAATTGTTGAGCAGGGTCTCTTTTGGGAATTCTAAAAAGGGACTCGCAAATTGCAAAACCTGAACAGGGAATCGTGGTGAGAGCCTGGAGGATCCTGGCTCTCAGGACGCAAAAACAAACGGATGCAGCACGGAAGGGGGGAATGATAGATGGAAGGCTAGCTTAGAAAAAAAAAAAAAAAAAAAAAAAAAAAACACACACAAGTTGAGCATGGTATCAGGCAGAGGCTACAGAGCACTTGGCACTCTGGCTGGCTGGCCTGCAATCTACTGCACCTCCCCTCTGCCTCACCTGTTCCCCACCTTGTGCGTCTCACTTTGTCATGAGGTGACTTTTGAGTCGACTCAAAAGTCACTATGGTATCAGGCAGAGGCTTCAGAGCACTTACTCTGGCTGGCCTGCAATCGATCTGCTCTGCCCCTCCCCTCTGCCCCTCACCTGTTCCCCACCTTGTGCGTCTCACCTTGTCATGGAGTGGAGAGGAGATTGTAAATGGAAAGAGCAAGCTCAGTCCCTTGAAGCGGACTCCGACTTGTGGCCTCTCATCATGCTCCTAACATCTCCTCTCCGTCACCTGCTCTCCACCTGCCCCTCTCCTCTCCCTCACCTGCTCTCCACCTGCCCCTCTCCTCTCCCTCACCTGCTCTCCACCTGCCCCTCTCCTCTCCCTCACCTGCTCTCCACCTGCCCCTCTCCTCTCCCTCACCTGCTCTCCACCTGCCCCTCTCCTCTCCCTCACCTGCTCTCCACCTGCCCCTCTCCTCTCCCTCACCTGCTCTCCACCTGCCCCTCTCCTCTCCCTCACCTGCTCTCCACCTGCCCCTCTCCTCAGCCTCACCTGGGACTATCCTACCCTCTGCTCCCCACCTTCTGTGTCTCATCTTGCTTTCCCTCTGCTCCGCCTTCTGCTCCCCACCTGCCCCCCACCCTTAAGCCCCACCTGCCAATACCCTCTGCTCTGCCTCCCCTGCGCCTCACCTTGCCGTAGAGATCGAATACGGGGAGACCGGTCTTGGGGTCCCTTGAGGCACACTCCAACTTGCCTGCTCCCCACCTTCTTCCCACCTTCTTCTCACCCGATTCTCACCTCCGAGGCCCCACCCTCCATCTCCCTTCTCCTTGCCTCCCCCCTGCCTCCCCTGCTCCTCACCTTGCCGTACAGATCGAATATGGGGAGACCGGTCTTGGGGTCTTTAGAGGCGGATTCTGACTTGCCTGCTCCCCGGGTCTGCATCACCTGCACCTCCCCCCTGCCTCACATGCAATCCTGCCTCCCCTCCTCCTCACCTTGCCGTAGAGATCGAATATGGGGAGACCGGTCCTGGGGTCTTTAGAGGCGGATTCTGACTTGCCTGCCTGCAAGGGTGGGTGGGGTGGGAGGTTGGGAGGGGTCACTGAAGGTAGGAAGGAAACGAAAGGGAAAGCAGGTTTGGGGTCCCCTGGTTGAGACTGCGAGGATACGAAAGGAAGGAAAACTCGCTGTCTCACCTGCGCTGTGCCTCTGATCTGATCTGATCTGATCTGAACCCATGCTCTCTCTGTGGCTCCAACTCGGCCATGAGGTGTAAGGGAGGTTGGGGGGTGCGCAGCTGCTGCTGGGCACCCGTCTTACGATGTGGAAGGAACGACAGCTCGTGCCCACCCACGCACCACCTGTCTTGCAATGCAACTCTCTCACCTGCGCCGTGCCTCGGGACCCGTGCTCGGGCCCAAACATGGGCAGCAGGTGGAAGGGAGGTGGGGAGCGCACAGCAGCATTTCACCCCTCTAAGTTCTACCAGGGTTAAAAGGGACAGACCAGTGCCCACACACGCACCACCTGGGTAGAGGTAAGTGACTCACCTGCACCGTGCATCGGGACCCGTGCTCGGGGCCAAACATGGGCAGCAGGTGGAAGGGAGGTTGGGGTTGAGAAGCTGCTGCTGAGCACCCCTCTAACGACGTGCAAGGAACGACAGCTCGTGCCCACACACACACACACACACCACCTGCCTTGCAAGTGCCTCACCTGCGCCGTGCCTCTGAACCCGTGCTTGGGGCCAAAGATTGCCACCAGGTGGAAGGGAGGTTGGGGGTGGGGGTGGTGCAGCAAGAAGGAGAGTGCACAAGTACTTTCCACCAAGGTAGCAGCAGCAAGTGCCTCACCTGCGCTGTGCCTCTGAATCCGTGCTCGGGCCAAACATGGCCACCAGGTGGAAGGGAGGTTGGGGGTGGGCAGCAGCTTTCCGTCCCTCGAACCAGTCCTCTAACCAGCTGAAATCGATAGCCCGTGCCCACACACACACCACCTGCCTTGCAAGTGACTCACCTTCGCTGTGCCTCTGAACCCATGCTCGGGCCCAAACATGGCCAGCAGGTGGGAGGGAAGCTGTGAGTGAGAGGCTGCACCCCTCTCACCACGTGCAAGGAATGACAACTCGTGCGCACCTGCTTTTGAGTCGACTCAAAAGCTGCACCCCTCTCACCACGTGCAAGGAATGACAACTCGTGCGCACCTGCCTTGCCTATAAGCGCCTCACCTGCGCCGAGAGCTAGCTTTCTATGCTCCTGACCGACCTCACCTCACCTGCGCTGTGCCTCTGAACCCGTGCTCAGGGCCAAACATGGCCACCAGGTGGAAGGGAGCTTGGGAGTGCACAGCCGTGAAACCATGCATGGCATCTGCCTGGGGGAGGGCGGGATGGAGGGAGGAAGGGTGAGGGAAAAGAGGTGGGAGAAAAAGGGGAGCTGGCTAGGAGGTGGAAGGGAGGTTGGGGGCGCGCAGCTGTGAAACCATGCATGGCTGCCTGTGTGGGTGCTGTATGGAGGGAGGAAGGGTGAGGGAAAAGAGGTGGGAGAAACAGGGGAGCTGGCTAGGGCGCGAAAGGGCGGTTGGGGGCGTGCAGAAGTGAAACCATGCATGGCATCTGCCTGTGTGGGTGCGGTATGGAGGGAGGAGCAAGGGAGAGTCAAAGTGATGGGGCAAGGGAAGAAATCAGCCTAGGAGTTGAAAGGGAGGTTGCGGGTGCGCAGCCGTGAAACCATGCATGGCATCTGCCTGGGGGGGTGGAGAATGAGGGAAGGAAAGATGGGAAAGGGAAGAGGACACCAGTTAGGCGCCATTGAGTTCGATACGCGGCAGCAACTTAGGATTCAACACCAGTAGTTGTTGTGAGTGATTTTTAAGAATTTTCAAAAATCACTCACAAGGATTCCACACCAGTAGTTGTTGGTAGTACTTTGTAGAACCATGCATGGCATCTGCCTGGGGGGGTGGGGGAGGAGGGAAAGACGGGAAAGGGGCACAATGAGCCTGGGATGGGAGGTGCAAGAAAGGCTGGTGGTGCGCAGCTGTAAAACCATGCATGGTATCTGCCTGTGCGCGTGTGACTTTGTTTGAGGCGCCTCAAAAGTCGTCTCTTATCCCGCAATTTTCTAGGCACCTCAAAAGTTGTCGCTTATCTCATCCCACAAATTTTTAGGCGCCTCGAAAGTCGTCTCTTATCCCGCAATTTTTTAGGCGCCTCAAAAGTCGTGAAACCATGTATGGTATCTGCATGTGTGCATGTGGGATGGAGAGGAAGAGAAAAGGAGATTCAAAGTGATGGGGCATATGGGATGCAATGAGTTTGGGAGGTGGAAGAGAGGCGGGGAGTGCACAGTTGTGAAACCATGCATGGCATCTGCCTGTGTGATTGTGGGATGGAGGGAAGAAGGGTGAGGGAAAAGAGGTGGGAGAAACAGGGGAGCTGGTTAGGAGGTGGGAAGGGAGGTTGCGGGTGCGCAGCTGTGGAACCATGCATGGGCGTTTACCTGTGTAATTGTGGGATGGAGGGAGGACGGAGAGTGGAAGTGATGAGACAAGGGATGCATTTCGCCTAGGGAGTGCATAGCTGTGGCACCATCTGAGGTGTATTTTGAGGCGCATCAAAATACACCTCAACGCGATGAGACAAGGGATGCATTTCGCCTAGGGAGTGCATAGCTGTGGCACCATCTGAGGTGTATTTTGAGGCGCCTCAAAATACACCTCAACGCGATGAGACAAGGGATGCATTTCGCCTAGGGAGTGCACAGCTGTGGCACCATCTGAGACGCGAAAGGGCGGTTGGGGGTGCGCGGCCGTGGAACCATGCATGGCGTCTGCCTGTGTGATTGTGGGATGGAGGGAAGAGGAAGGGAGAGCGGAAGTGACGGGGCAAGTTTGAGAGGTGGAAGAGAGGTGGGGAGTGCACAGTTGTGAAACCATGCATGGCATCTGCCTGTGTGATGGGGCACGGGATGCAAGTGATGGGGCACCGGATGCAAGTTTGAGAGGTGGAAGGGCGGTTGGGGGTGTGCAGCCGTGAAAGAAGTGCCAAGGAGGTAAAAGGGAGGTTGCTTTGTTGCAGAATTGTTACAATACAGCTTTGTTACATCATTCTCACATGACTGCTGGTTGCAGCATTGCTACAGCATTTTCTCTAGACTTGATTCAGCAGTCTGAGAATCTGATTCAGCAGTCTGAGAATCTGATTCAGCAGTCTGAGAATCTGTTTCAGCAGTCTGCAGCTCACCAAGCGGGTGAGATCTCGAAGCACAGACGTGGCACTGGCAATCAGTCCGGCCTGCTAGGCTTTTGAGGCAGGCCAAGAATGTTACAGCGGTGCTTCAACATTTGTTTGAACATTGTTTCGGCAGTCTGAAGCTCACCAAGTGTGTGAGATCTCGAAGCACTGACGTGGCACTGGAAATCAGTCCGACCCGCCAGGCCCGAACGAGGAGGGAAAGGGGGGGAGAGAGTGGGGGGAATAGAGGAACGAAAAGGGAAGGGGTGGTATCTCGAAGCACAGACGTGGCACTGGCAATCAGTCCGGCCTGCTAGGCCGGCGTTTGAGGCAGGCCAAGAATGTTACAGCGTTGCTTCAACATTCGTTTGAACATTGCTTCAGAAGTCTGCAGCTCACCAAGTGTGTGAGATCTCGAAGCACCGTCGTGGCATTGGCTATCAGCCCGACCTGGAAAGGAAGAGGAGAAAGGGGGACACAGGAAGGGAGGGAGCGAAACGTTCCAGCTCTGTTACAGCATCGTTTCAACAGTGTGTGAGGCGAGGCGAGGCTCACCAAGCGTGTGAGATCTCGAAGCACAGACGTGGCATTGGCTATCTATCAGTCCGACCTGTCAGCGGTAACCAGATGATGAGGGGGAAGGTAAAGGAAGGGGGGAGGGGAGGGGAGAGAGGAACAGGGAGAGGTCCGAATGAGACGGCGTGGGGAAGGGAGGGGAGCATATGAAGGAGGGGAGGGGAGGGGGAAGGGAATGAGGTGGAGGGGGAAGGGAGGAAGAGGGACAGGCGAAGCACTGACGTGGCATTGCCAATGGCGATCAGCCCGACCTACTGGCCTGGGTGAGACGGTGAGGGGAAGGGGAGAGCGGACTCGATTGTCCAAAGGGGGCCTACTATAGAACCTTAGGGCGCTTCACCTCTCAGTTCGAACAGCACGGTTGTTCGAACAGGCGAAATGTTACATTTTTTGCCACTCCTCGTATGGGTGTTCGTGACGTCGCTATTCGGAAATTTCGCGAATCTGAACAGAGCTGTCACACGGGGCACGAAGCTCTCCATTCCTCACGTTCGAACAGAGTTGTTCGAACAAAGTTGGGTTTGGTGAGAGGGATTCCGCATGGACGACTGATTTGATTGGTTAGCAGGCTTAAAGTCGCACACGAATGTTTGCGACCATTGCAAATGTCGCCATGCAGGAGAAAGTTCATCGAAAAGGACATTGTTGTTGGGAAACAACAAGGTGAGCAGTAGTAGAAGAGCACGAAGAGACATTTTGACTGGATGGGCGAAAAATGAGTCAAACTTGAATGGCAGACGACTGAATTATTTTCTTGCGACGTTTTGCGAAGCCGTTCAACACTTGGCGACGTCGCATGTTCGAACAGGCTGTCACCTCTAGTCACGAGCTGTCACATTCACCAGGGTGTTCAAATTTGTGTTCGGATCTCGTCGGGAAACTGTTCGTACAGTGAATTCGTTACGTATGTTCGGATTTGGGCCTTCCAGCCCCGAGGTGATGCGCCCTTATAACGTGTACATTGCCCGGACCCATGCTTCCTCCTCCTCCCCTCCACAGCCCCCCCCCCCCCCCCCCCCCCCCCCCACGCCCACCTTGCTCGCTCCTAACGCGTATGGGCCCACCAAAGCGCGGCCTTATAACGCGCACTGTGCATGAATGCTTTACTCCCGTTCTCCCACCCACCTTGCTCCCACGCAGCCTCTCGAACGACTCGGCGCGCAGCACGTCGCAGCCCGTTAGGATGCCGCCATGGCTGCCGCCGCGCGCCGCCTCGTGCTGCCGCCCATTACGGCGCGAAGCGCCCTGCCCCATGACAAATGCTCGTCAAACCTAGTTTCGCTTCGTCCACCCCCTTCGGTGACAACCCTATCGCAAATGCCCCTGGCACATGACGGTGGTTTGCCCTATTTCGCCTGTACTACTAGCTGAGGAGCAGGCAAGACTGAAATGTACGTTCCGCGTTGACGATTCCTCTGAAGTGACGACGAAAATGAGTAAGATAGGTGAATCGGAATTTGTACGCGATACGGACAATTGGACGAGGAAAAATAAAAAGAGAGCATGCATAATTGTTGTTTGGTTTTATTGGTGGAGTTTTCGCTCGTCCCTTCTGTTATGAGCTGTCAATAGGAAGAATGCGCAGAAGTCAATAACGGGCTGGGTGCTGGTCAGGGGCTGCCAAGGCCGACGCGGGAAACGTTCGGGAGGCGAGAGAGATCTTCGGTTCGGACCGAGCCTAGTCTTCCAGGGAGTTGGAGTCGTACGCATACAGCGTGACTCACACATACGCCGCACTGTAGTTAGCACAGGTAAAGCACCAGTTCCACACTTCCACCTACCCACTAGCCAAGTTGCGTTGAATGGCGACGGACAGAAATTCGTCGCTCGGCGACAGAACTATGTGTCGTTACTATGCGACAGAAATTAGCGCACCCCCTCACGTCACACAACAGAGAAATGTTTCGCAACGGGTTGTCGCCGCCACCACAACGACACGCGTCGCCACTCGAAGCCAAGGGCGTACGGCGGGGAGAGTGAAGGGACGTACAGAGGGAGGGAGGGAGAGCGGAGAGGAGGAGAGGGGGTTTGTTGCTGTGTGGTGTGGTTCGATTTCGTGTGGTTCGTGACAGTCCCAGAGAGCATATAGCCGTTGGATAAACCAATCTGCTTTCAAATGGAGGGCAGGAGCAGGCACCACTATCAGCCTCTCAACTCAACCACTCCGAACAGATCTCCAAGTTTCAATAACGTTTGGAACCGAGATAATGCTGGATTCCGCTGAAGCAGATCGTGAAGCAATTTTCTGGAGCTTTCTCTCCCCACCAGGGCTCAGGATTGCAGGGCGTTTTACCCTGTTTGCCCTGCATTTCAGGGTGAATTTTTGTACCTGCACTGCTAGACTTGGGTTTGGCTGGGCGTCCACCCTGTCATCGTCAGGCAAGGCTAAAAACGAACCCTGCAAATGCTGTTTTACTCTTATGTGCCACACTGCCGTTCCCCGGCTCGTTACGGCAGACACCCTGCCAACTTTTTCCCTTATGCAAAAACTTCACCAACTAAGCCGAAATGTGTCCAGTAGAGTTGGTGAGTGAAATTTCCAGAAGCTGCTAAGTACTTGAAACACCAGAGATTCAGCTGTAGCTTAGTGAGTGACGTTTGTGACTGAAATGTGCAGTAGCGTTTGTGACTGGAATTCCAGAATCGGCTAAGTCTTTTAAACACCAGCGATTCAGCTCTAGCACAGAGATTGGTGTGCTATCGCTAGTGACCGCACCTAGAAGACCCACCGACAGGACTCTCATCTCCCAACTCACACACTAAAACCACCAGAACTTACGCATAGAGACGTACCACTCTGTGTGTTGAGGTATACACTTTCAACGAGCCAGGAAGACCCAAGTTCGATAATAGCAGGGTCAACTGCGGAACCCATAAGTTTTTGCTAGGCAGTGTTTTCATAATTTCCGCTCTGCTAAATTCGTCCTCGAAAAAAAAACACCCTGCTATTTCTTGAGTACGACTGCAAGGCACACTGCAGAGGCAGGGTGTACAGGATCACAACTCGGATCAGCCAGTGTGCCCCAAAATGAATCGAGAGCCCTGCTTTACTCGTCCTCAGGGTGCGTTTCTATTCCGTGTCAGACACGAAGCTAGACACGAAGTTGAGGTTGGGAAGACCCAAAGGGACTCGGAATGCTGGCAAATTTAGGTTCGGAAGACACAAACCGAGTCACTTTGTGTCTTCCGAAGCTTTGACCTGAGTCTGACACGGGATAGAAACGCACCCTTATTCAACGTCACATCCTTATCTCGCCATTTATGTCCGCTTCCGCGTTGCAAGTTTTTCGATTGGGGGATCGGCATGGGACTGTGGGAGGGAGCCCGTTTCCGCTCAAAAACAAGCTTCGAAGGACCTAACGGTCACCGCGATTCGTCAGAACACCCGGCCGTAGATGGCGAGTACAGTACACTGTGCACATCTCGAGCCGCCGATGTCGAACGACAGGGCGTGGGGGACAATCCTTCCTCAGTCCTGCAGTCTTTTCCGCACATGGCGACACCGCATTGTTTCGCACTCCCTCAAGCGTCGCACGAATTTCAGACATCGACTACTGCTGACGTTACGGAGCGTGGCAACTGTACTCGTACCAGCATCGCACAGTAGTAACACGGATCGTCCTATCTACTTCTAGAGCTGTGCATGATCCATATGGTAAAATTTTCCGCGATGGTGATTGAGCGAAAGCGGCACTGCTGCGAATGGACGTGCCAGCCACACTCAGTATCAGTACAGTTACGTCTCGTCCGCAGGATGCGGAGGTGTCGGGGAGTGATGCAGATCCCGACTCGACTGGGGGGCGGGGCACGCCGATTAGATTCGTCGACTGCAATCGCATCTTTCGTCGTAATCACCCATTCCGGAATGAGATGCTCCGAGCACAGGTTGATCCGTCCGCGTCGCTTTCTCATAGATTCCGGCCTCGGGCTGTCATTCCTAACGGTCATGTTTGGAATTTCAACGGGCGGAAGGAAAGAAAAAGAAGGAATAGGCGTTTCGTTTCCCGGTGCTGCTGCTGATCGCTCGCGTTTCGTTCAATGCTGATCTCCTGATCACACGCCGGCGACACTTCGATTGCTGATCGAGGCAGGTACTCGCTTTCTCAACCTAGGTCGGTCGCCCTACTGCAGTATCACGTAAGAGAGTTTTCACACTTCCAAACCAGCGCGAGGGTATTGCATGACGAGTCCAGCTGCAGCATCGGTACTACCACGACTGCTAGTAATAGCGAAGCCGCGACAGCGCTCTAACGCGAGATCCGATCAAGGTCCTGCATCACGTACGAGGGAATTCGCACGATCAGTAACTATCACGAAAAGAGAAGAAACAAACGCTCCGAAATGGAGGCTTGTGACTATATCGAATTCGGTCTCCCTGGATCCGTGCTGTACCGGGGCTTTCTCCTCTCCGCGTCGGACCCTCCTAGCACCACCACCACCAGCAACGTGCGAGTACCATCCATAGGCACGATCGGACGAGATCGGCCTGTCTTGTCAGGCACGATCGGACGAGATCGGCCTGTCTTGTCAGGCACGATCGGACGAGATCGGCCTGTCTTGTCAGGCACGATCGGACGAGATCGGCCTGTCTTGTCAGGCACGATTGGCTCAAGATCTGACAAGTGCGCCCCGTCGTCGTCCTCCTCCTTCTCATCCTTCTCCTCGTTTTCATCCTGGTCTTCGTCCCCCAACTTCCACTCTTCCAGTGACATCCAGCCGACCAGTCACATCCATCCTGTCGGGCGAGATCCTGAAGACGCCATGATCCTCCACCCGATCTCCACGTGGAACGACGTTCCGATTCGGCCCGTTGACTCACCCGCCGTTATCGACTGCGGCGACGGCGGGGGTGTTAGCTTCGCTCGAGCGTTGCAGGGTGCAATTGGTGAAAGGAGTTGTGCAATCGAAGCGGCGGGTATGGATGGGTGTGAGACAGAGCGTCCGGACTTGATTAGGGCGGGAGAGAGCGTTTCTATGGTGTGCTGCACGCCGCGAAACTCGTGGGTGCAAATCGAGGCAGCTTATAACGAGGCGTGGCACCCTCTGCGCGTTCGCCAGGTGGACGGGTTACCCGCTCATTACAGTCACAATCTCGATTGGAACCTCGGGATCATCCCGCAAACATGCTGCTGTCGCCAAGGCGACAACGTCGGAGGGGATTTTCAGTATGGATCTGACGATTCTTGTTGCAGGTCGCATGACAAGGCATGCGACAGTGCAGCGTGCGGCGCGGCGACGTGCGCGACCATGTGCGACCATGCGCGCGACGAGGCGCGTGACGGGGCGCGAGACAGGGCGTGCGACCAGCACGCGCCATTGGAGGTGATCGAAATCGGGCGCGGGGAGGCTCGAGTGGGGCAGGTGTATCTGGTGAAGCCGCTGCTCGCGTTCCTCATCGTCAGCCCCGATCTGAAATCCTCCTGGAAGATCGTGGCCGTCGATTCGTCGGATCCGATGGCTGCGGCGCTGCTGGATTCGCGAAGCGGTTACCCTGTTTGGTTGGAGGCGAAGCTGCGCGAAATCGTGGAGTGGCTCAAATACTGCAAGTGTAGCACCGTGTGTAAGTGGATTGGCATGAAAAAAAAAAAGTGTTTTTCCATCACTACGTCTGCAGTGCACATATCACCTCACCTCCCTAATACCCCTTGCATGCTCTCTCATGCCCTGCTCCCTGGCTGCTCCGTCCCTCTTGCCCACTTTGTTCTCCGCATTCCCCCACCTTCTTCCGTTTTCTCTCACCTCTCTCACCCATTATTTCTCCAGTTCTCTTTTGTCTTCCCCCCTGTCCCCCCACCCCTTGCCCCTTCTACCCCCTTTCCTCCCCCCTAAACCCTCCCCCATCCCCCCTCTCCCAGTTGATCCGACCAGGACCATCGCGGGTCGCGAAAAGTCAGCGCCCTTGGTCGTTCTCGCACCTATAATCCCCCCCGCTTCCTCCCTTCCACCCAACCCCCCATTCCCGCTCCCCACTCCCCCCCAGTTGATCCGCCCAGCACCATCGCAGGTCGTGAGAAGCCAGCGCCCTTGCATCGCACCATCGCCGCCATCAGCGCCGCCCATGCCGCCTGGACGCACTGCCACCGCCGCCGCTGCAGTAGCCGCTGCTGCTGCAGCAGTGAAAGCAGCAGCAGAGCCAGCGACAGCGCTACACGCACCAACTCTAGGAGCAGCAGCAGCAGCGACAGCGACAGCGCTACGAGGAGCAGCTGTGGAGGGGGCGGCAGCAACATGGGCAGCAGCATTGGGAGGGGCGACATTGCTCTGAAGGATCTGAGGCAGCTCGCAGAGCAAACGGCCTCCGCTGCTCTCACCAACGCCATCTCTGAATTCGCCCGCGTGCCCTTCGCCCAACCTGCCTCCGTACCTGCCGCCGCCGCTGCTGCTGGTGGTGCTGGTGCTGGAGCTGGTGCCGGTGCCGAGCCTCTGAACCAGCAGGCTCGGAAGCAGCAATGCGTGTTCCGAAGGCCAGGCTCGGAGTCGGGCAGGTTTGGCATGCGAAAGAAGGAGATTTTCATCAAAATTGAGGAGGAAACGGACGATGTCAGTGGATTCTTAACTAGAGTTGAGGACGGGGGGGAAGAGGAGCGTGCGTATGCAAGAGAGAGTGGTGGTGGGGGAGGGGAGAGGGCGAGAGTAGGTGAGGAAGGATGGCGGGATGCAGAGAAGCAGATGAAACACGAGCAGCAGCAGAAGAAGCAGTTGCAAGGCGGGTTGACGCGTTTGAAAGAGCGGTGGCAGCAGCATCCGCAGCAGAAGCAGCAGGAGAAACAGCAGCAGGAGAAGCAGCAGCAGGGAAAACAGCAGCAGCAGCAGCAGCAGCAGCAGCAGCAGGAAGAGGGAGGTAATTTGAAAAGAGGCTGGCGATCCTCCTCCTCCTGTGCTCTTGAGATTCCCACCGGCATGCTGCTAGACTCCCCCTCTCCTGTCACTCGCTCCTCGTCTTCCCTCCTGCGTCGCCACCAGTCCCTCACTCCCCCCTCCTTGCCGCGTCCCCCAATCCCTCCTCTCACGCCCCGCCGCCTTCTGCGTGCGTTTTCACCCTCGTCCTCCTCCTACCGCAAGCGGCCCATGTCACAGTCTGTACTTTACGACAGCAGCAGCAACAGCAGCAGCAGCAGCAACAGCAGCAGCAGTTGCAGCACCTTCAGCTGCAGTGCAGTCAACACTGACATTCATCCCAACACAATCATCACCAGCAGCAGCCACCACAGCACCAACAGTGTGCAACAAACGCGCCGACCGCCTTCCCTTCGCATCCTCATCCCACCTCCTCTCGTAGACGCCCCACCCTCAGCCCCACTGCCAACAATCCCCTCCCTTTCTCCTGACTCTGCCCATCCTCCCTTGAAACCTCCCCCTGGTATGGATTGTCCCATGCCCTTCCCATCACCCTCTCCCTCGCCCTCTCCCTTGCCTTCGTCTCTGCCCTCTTCCACGCCTTCTCGTTTCCCCTCGTCCTTGTTCTCTCCCTACTCCTTCTCCTCCTCCTCAGCCTCTCCATTCAGTTCAATACGACCTCCAGCAGTCGATATAAGCGGATCTCCCGTTGGGAGAGGAGGGAGGTACGACTATCGGCGGTCAATCTCCGCTCAGACCGAACGCGAGTCACAACAATGTCCCGGGAGGGCTGGGAAGCTGGAAAGGTCTGGCAAGTCGGGGGAAGTTGGCACGGATATGCTTCTTGACACGCAGGAAGGGCAGTTTGGCAGGGGTTTGCTCCCTGAAACCCCACCTCGGAAGGCTGCGAAGCTGGAAAGATGTGGCAGGTCGGGGGAAGTTGGCACGGATATGCTTCTTGACACGCAGGAAGGGCAGTTTGTGGCGCCCAGGACGCCGAAGGCACGGTCTGATTTACCCAGATCCGCCAAGGGATGCAGCGGGCCACCGGGAACGCTGAGAACACCCAAAACGTCCACCACGCAGAAAATGCCAAAGGCTCTGGAAACGGCCAACATGGCCAACACCCCCAGAGCATGCGGTGAGCAGCAGGTGATGACCCCCGGGGGGCGGTCTGATTCGGCTGTCACCCTTACGGGACTTCGTGCATTGGTTGGAGGTTCGCCTCAGATGCCGGAAGCGCCCAACACGGCCAACATCCCCAGGGCACGCAGTGAGCAGCAGGTGATGACTGCATGGCGGCTGCTTGGTGCTGATGCCGATGCCACCCCTACTACAGGACGCTGTGCGCTGTTTCAAGGTTCTCCGCAGACAGTGGAAACGCCCGGCACGGCTATTACCATCCCCGAGGCACGCAGTGAGCAGCAGGTGATGACAGCGTGGCGGCTGCTCGGTGCTGCTGATGCCACCCCATGGCTCAATGCCGTGCCGCACGGAGACCGCGTGGGCCGCAGTGCACTGGCTCAAGGTTCTCCTCAGACGCTGCTCTCACCAACGTCTCTCACCCCTACAGGCCGCCGTGCGTTGGCTCAAGGTTCTCAGGCCGATTTTGGTGAGGGATGTGGGACGGGGAGAGGCGCGAGGAGGCAGCTTTTTGAGGCGCCTCAAAAAGCGAGGAGGCAGCTTTTTGAGGCGCCTCAAAAAGCGAGGAGGCAGCTGAGGGAGGTGGGTGCTGAGAGTTTTGGGACGTCTCAAAACACTTCTTCATACACGTGGTTGAGGGAGGTGGGTTCTGAGAGCTCTTTGGATGGGAGCAATGTCACTCCAATGGGTGCCACCCCTACGGGTCGTTCGTTGGGTGGACCTGAAGGTTCTCAGACGGATTTTGGCGAGGGACGAGGCAGGAGGAAAGGTGCGAGGAGACAGCTATGGGAGGTGGGTGATGAGAGGTTATTGGATGGGAGGAGGGATAACGATGGCAGTTGTGGTATTAGTAATACGGATGATACAAATGCTAGGGGTGGTAGGGGTGGTAGGAGTGGCAGGGAAGGGTGTGATGTTGGTGGTGAGGAGGGGAGTGGGGTGAGGAGCGGAGCGAGAAGGCAGCTGTGGGCGGCGGCTGGTGAGGGCTCATTGGATGTGAGCAGTGATAGGGATGATAGGATTGATAGGAGTTCCAAAAGTTGTAGGAGTGACAGGGAAGGGTTTGGTAGTAAGGGAAGTGGGAGGAGGGCAGCCGCAGGAGCAAGGGGGCAGCTGCAGGTGGTGGGTGATGAGGGCTCATTGGATGTGAGCTGTGATAAGAGTGGTAGGTGTGGGAGGAAACGGTATGGTGGCGGTGGTGGCGGTGGTGGTGGTGGTGGCGGTGGTGGCAATGGCAATTGTGCTGCTTCTGATGCTTGTGCTGCTGCTGGTGGTGGCGGCGGTGTGGCTTCTCCTAAACCGTTTGGAGCAACCGAAGCAGCTGAGGCAATTATGACAGCACAGCGGCGCAGTAAGGCGGAGGAATCTGCCAGCAGCAACAGTGATGGCAGCAGTGAGTTGCCAAGGAGCACAACCGATAGTGGTGGTGCTGGTACTGGTGCTGGTGGCGGTGGTGTTGGTAGTGCTGGTGGTGCTGGTGCTGGTGGTGCTGGTGCTGCTGGTGCTGCTTTTGGTGCTGGTGCTGGTGAGAAGAGCAGCAGCAACAGCAGGATGCGCAAGGCAGTGTTCAGGAGCAAGGAGGCAGCTAAGGCTGCTGCTGCTGCTGCTGCTGCTGGTGCCAGTGGTGCTGGTGGTGCTGGTGCTGCTGAAGGTGCTGCTGCTGGTGCTGGTACTGAAAAGAGCGGCGGCAACAGCAGGATGCGCAAGGCAGTGCTGAGGCTGTTCAGGAAGAGCCGAGGGAAAGGGCAGAGCCAGGTCGCACCTTTCCCCATCCCGGATCACCCTCCCCTGCATGCACCTAGTGTTGGGGCGCCTCTGAAGGCGGTTGGGAGGGGGCAGAGTCAGGTCGCACCTTTCCCAGGACCTGACCCCCCTGCCCTGCATGCACCCATTTCTGAGACGCACAAGAAAGTGGCTGGTAGGTGGAACCAGGTCTCGCCTTTTCCAAACCCGGACCCCCCTGCCCTGCATGCGCCTATTTGTGGGACGCCCATAAAACCCCCTTCCGGTGGTAGCAGAAGCAGCAACAGAAGAGGCAGCAGTGGCAGCAATTTCAAGTCAGCAGCAGCAGCGTGGGTGGTAGGTCAGCCATTGCCTGTAAAAGCAGGACTTGCCTCTGAGACGATTCAAAAGTCAGCAGCAGCAGAGCTGGTGGCGGGTCAGCCGTTGCCGGTAAAGGCAGGGATTGCTTCTGAGTCATCTCGAAAAGAAGCAGCAGCAGCAGCAGCAGCACCAGCAACACCAGCAGCAGCAGAGCTGGTGGCGGGTCAGCCATTTCCTGTAAAGGCTGGGATTGCTCTCGCATGTATTCTTGCTGCGGCCATTGCCCTTCTCCCCTCTGCTACAGATGCTGCTGCCACAGCCACTGCTGTTACAGCCAGAGGCTCTGCTGAGACTTCCGCCCTCGCCTCCCTCCCCCCTGCTGCTACTCTTGCTGCTGCTTGTGCTGATGCTGCTGCACCTGCTACTACAACCGCTGCTTCTACTGAGGAGCAGCAGCAGAAGCAGCAGCAGAAGCGTGAGGAGGATTGGAGGGAGGAGGAAGAGAGGGATGAGGAAGCGGGGGAGGAGGAAGAGAGGGAGGAGGAAGCGGGGGAGGTGGGATTGAGGGAGGAGGAAGAGAGGGAGGAGGAAGGAAAGGAGGAGGAAGATAGGGAGGAGGAAGAGAGGGAAGAGGAAGAGGGGGAGGAGGAAGCGAGGGAGGAGGAAGAGAGGGGAGACCTAGAGGAGCAGCAGCAGAAGGGTGAGGAGGAGTGGAGGGATATGGGTGAGGGGGGTGTGGGACTCGAGGAGGAAGGGAGGGAGAATGAGTGGAATGACATGGTTGAGAGGAAGCGTAAGGGTGTGGAAGCGGAGGAGCAGCAGAAGAGTGAGGAAGAGAGGAGGGATGTGGGTGAGAGGGCTGCGAATCTCAGGGAGGAAGAGAGGGAGAACGGGGATGGGGGGAAGCATAAGGACAAGGAGAACGAGGAGGAGGAGAACGAGGAGGAGGAGGAGGAGGAGGAGGAGGAGGAGGAGGAGGAGGAGGAGGAGGAGGAGGAGGAGGAGGAGGAGGAGGAGGAGGAGGAGGTTGGTGATGGGTGTGCTTATAGCGAAGCCCTTGCTGACTGTGTGTACAGTGATGATCCTTCATCGAATGGGGATGATGTGTCGGTGAATGCTCTCGAGGAAGATACTCACAGCAGGGATTACTGGAGCACTACAGACGACTGTAGCTGCAGATACGGCTGTGGTAGTAGAGGCGGCTGTAGCAGCAGTTGTAGCAGCAGAGGCAGTGCCTTCAAACGGGCTTTGCAGCGCCACAACAGCATGAGCAGTGCAAACATGGTGTGCAGTGGGGGGGGTGCGGGTAGCCTGAGGAGCATGAGCAGTGCAAACCTGGTGTGCAAGCAGGGCCTGAGCCTAAGCACATGTGGTTGCCCCTTGGACCGCCCCTCTCGTCGTCAACATTCGCGTGAACGGATTTTGCAGCGAGGCAACAGCTTGAGTAGTGCAAGCCTAGTAGGCAGTGTCGAGTGTGCGGGCAGTGTGGTGGGGAGTGTGCGGAGTGTGGGCAGTGCGAGTCTGGTATGTGAGCGCATCTTGAGCGTGTGTGACGTCTCACCAGTTCCGATCATCCTCTTCTCCCACCTCACCAGCGTGCACCTCAGCAGTATGGGGCTGTCTGGTCGATCTGCGTCTGCAGAGAGCCTTGATGCGTGCAGTGCAGACAGGAGTCTATACAGAGCAGCTGCAGCAGGAGAAGCAGCAGACAGCATGATTGTTTCAGCTGCCCCGATGTTGCCACGGAGACCAACAGCAGGCCGACAGGTGGGTTTACAGGCGGGTGCGTCTAGACAGCTCCGCCGCACATCCACTTGTCTTGATGATGTTGAGGGCATGTCCTCCTGCCTTATCAGCAGGCAGGAGGGCATGCACCTACAAGCAGTATCAGCAGCAGCAGCAGTAGAAGCAGCAGTTGCATCAGCAGCACCTACCTCAGCAGCGGGCCGACAGGCGGGTGTGTCTAGGAGGCTCCACCGCACCTCCACCTGCCCTGATATTGAGGCCATGCCGCTCCCACTACAATCCCCACTGTCATCCCGTGTTCTCAAGTCACAAGCCTCGCGAGAAGCAGCAGCAGCTTCAGCAGCAGGAGCAGCAGCAGCAGCAGCAGCAGCAGCAAAAGAAATGGCAGAAGAAACAGAAGAAGCAGCAGACGAAGGGGAGGGAGGGAAGGAGGGGCAGGAGTCACTTGAGTCTCGCTTGAGGCGATGGCATGAGAGCATGGGTGTATCATGTACCCTCTCCCTGCCTCTCGATGCCTCCTTGCATCCCCCATCCCCTTTGCATCCTACCCCCGCCGGCCTCTTTCTCCCCAGCCTGCCCCACTGGACCAAGCGGTCGCTCCCTCGCTCGCTGCGCATCTCCCGCTCGCTGCTCTCCTTTCAAGAGAGCGCCCTGCTGGAGCATTGCCAGGAGACCACTCTTTTGCATGGCATGGGCGGTGGATGGAAGGATGGGGGAAAGCACAGGGAACTTGATAGGGAAAGTGATAGGGAAAGTGATGGGGAGAACGAGCTTTGGAGTGAGATGAATGAGGAGAGCAACGAGGGGAGCAGTGAGGAGAGGAATGAGAACAGGAAAGGGGGTAGGAGTGTGCGAGTGAAGAGTGAGAGCTTCTTGCTGTCAGCAGCAGCGGCGGCGGTGGCAGCGCCAGTGTCCCCCGGAGAGTCCATCCGGGCGGCTGTGGCCGTCTATTCCGCCTCGAGGGAGTTATGGCGGCCTCCTTGTATACCCAAGCCTGTGAAACAAGCCAAGCTGTGCCTTCCCAGGTACTCCCCGCCTGTGCCTCTTATTGGGCTGGAGAAGCTAATGGAGGGCGCAGCAGGGGGAGGTGGGACTGGTGGTTTTTCTGGGTCTGGTGGGGTTAGTGGTTGGAGTTTGGGGACAGGGTGGTGGGGTGTGGGAGGAGAGACAGGAGAGGAGGGGAGGGAGAGGAAGGAGGAGGCAGGAGAGGCAGGGTGGCTGGGGTTTGAAGGGTTGGCAGATGTGGCAAGGGGGATTATGTGGGGGGGAGGAGGCGATGGAGGTGAAGAGGGGGGGAAGGAGGGGGGGAAGCAGGGGGGGAAGGAGGGGGGGAAGGAGCGGGGTTTGGATGAGGGTGTAGTAGAGAACATTCTGGAAGATTCAGTGAGAGGAGAAGAGGAGACAGGGTTGACTGTACGAGTGGAGCGGAAGTGTTTTACTAGAGTGGGGGATGAGGATGATGCTGGGGAGATTGCATGAGAGGGGGCGTAAAGAGGTGGTTGAACAAGGCGTTTGCTGGGCCAGTAGGAAATTACGCTAGGGCATTACATTTGCTGAAGACTTTCATCGATGGGCGTTTCACTGGCTATTACAATAATAATAAATGCATTTTGCGTCGCACCTTGTAGGGGTGCAATCCCTCCTGGTTGGGCGGGAGGCGGTTCATCACTTGCCAAACCAGTTTGCCTGTGCACAGGTATCGGTGAACATTCTCCTGTCTAAATTTGAGCTGGCAAATTTGATACCGGGTGTATCAGGCAATCTGACGGTTGAAAGAGTGTTTGTTTACCCGAAAGAACATCATTACTGGGTAAGCACTTTCCAAATGTTTGCACCATTGTTATTGTACTTCCTCTGCTACTGTCAGCTTGTATCGCGTATCCTTTCCAACCGCGGGACGACAAGCACACCTGAGAGCATCTCCCGCCTACACTCGGCACAACCCCATACCTCCCGTCATTCCCGCCGCAACTCTCGCTCTTCCATTTCTCCGCCACCTTGCCCCGCCGCCCTTCCCATCCACCCTTTCGTTCGCTTCCTTTTCGCCAACCTTCGCGGAATTCGCACAGCATGGGAGGAGGCGGCGGTGCTGCTGGCGGTTACCCTAACGTCTGGGCGTTAACCGGCGGGTGGTACTGCGACCCGAAATACTGGCGTCGCAACACCGCGTTCGCCTTGGCCGGCATCTTTGCCGTTTGCGTTCCGATCGCCCTGACGTCAGCACGGCTCGAGGTCAGTCGGTCACTATCGTGAATGGATGGATCCGTTTAGTTTCGCTGCGACACGCGCAACACGTGCGACGCGTGCGACACGCGCGACAGGTGCGACGCGTGCGACAGGTGCGACTATATCAGATTGCTTATGTCGTAAGCTTGTGTAAGCCTACTGTATGAGAGGTTTTTTTGGGAAAGCGGGGAGGTGTCAAGTGTTTCGACACGACGTTACGAAATGGCTCGTAACTTTGTATTCACGAGGTGGTAATATCGACGTGGTCGTACGCACGTACGGTAGTTGATCTTGGTGAGCGACGGTTAAGCAGTGCCCCACCAGAGAGCGACGGTTAAGCAGTGCCCCACCAGAGAGCGACGGTTAAAACCGGGGTGCACATTCACCTGGGTGGGCATCAGGGGTTAACCTTTGATGCCCACATTACAGCCAGATTTCGCCCCAACCCCCAAAAAAATTGTTCCCCATCCCTTGCAATTTCTGAATGTGTACCCTGGTTTTAAGCAGTGCCCCACCAGAGAGCGACGGTTAAGCAGTGCCCCACCAGCGAGCGGCGGCCTGATGTTAGTGCTCGGATATACCCGTGCTTTCTGCCATGTATTTTTCAAACATACTGGCTGTCTCTTTGTGATAAGAGTTTGAAAAAGATGTAAAAATACTCAGGCAGGGTGAGTTCGATTCTCGTGCTCGCATATATCAGTGCTGAAGCCTTGAAGTGCCTAAATCTTCTAGTGTGTTTTCAAACATACTGAACATATCATTTACGCGATAATGAATGTGATATCAGACGATTTCTTTTATGGTTTGTAGGTGCGGGTTTATAGACCTTTTTAATTCCCCACTTCCGCCCCTATTTCCTCCCTTCCCACCTGCATCTCTTCTTCCCTCAATCCCTCGCTCCATTCCCTCAAATTCCCTTCATGTGCTTTCCTTTCCCACTCTCCCTCTGCCCCTCCTTGGTACTCTCCCCAAATTCCCCAATCTCCCGATACCCTAATTCTATGCCGTGCATCTCAGTATAAACCGTTTGCTTTGTGCTTCCATGTCTGCCTATAGCCCCCTTGATCGGCTTCCCAATACCTGTGTCGTCGTGTGTCTCACCCCCTCACGACGATCTCCAACCGACCCCAATTGTTCCCAACCATCCCCAACCACGTGATGCATGTTTCAGCAACGGCCGATTGCCCCGAGCCGCGCCATTCCCTCCCAGATGTGGTGCTCCAACTTCCCATCCGAAGCAAAACAAGCATCGGAGGAGTGAGTGTGAAAGACCTTAGGAGCAACACACAAAGAATTGTGGTCATGGCTTCAGACAGCGGCGGAATTGTAGGATCAGCACACAACACAATGCTCTCAATGTGCTTCTTTAGATCGTCAGAGTGTGTATATGGCTTCTTCAATGATTACACTTTTAATTTAGTTACCTAGACAGTTCAGATGAAAGACGCAGGTTTTTCTAGTGTAGTGGCATACATTGATCGGATGCAAGTGAAGCACACCGACACCACCTTGTTTACAGGTGGTGCCCCAAGGTCGCAGCTGGTCCAACCCGAAAAATCCAAATGTCTTACGAGACAATCCGGCTGACCCTATCCCGTTCTGTTCCGGATGTTTCCTTGTGGCTCACTACAGTGTGGATACAGCTCTTCCTGTGTAACCCGGCCGTGGCTCAGAGGTCTGTGACAAACTACCTGGCTCTATTCCCACTGTTGTTTTTCTCAGCACTCCTCATCTGTCAATTGTTTCGGCCGAGTTCGAACCAGCCTGGTCCCACAGGCACTCGTTCGCAACCTTAAGTGGACTAAATCTGCTTAGCAGATTTGGCCTAGAACTATGCCGAAGTCCCGAGCAGAAATCATACACTTTTAATGTACAGCCATGCATCTTTCATGACTTGCTTAGAATAGGTGGGTCAGAATCTGTCTTGGATTTCCAATGCAGGGTTTGTTTTAAGACAACCCGGCTACAATCCAATATTCCCCTAAAACTGCTCTGTTCAGAAGGTCGTGAGGTTGCCAACCGAGGGAAATGCGCACTGTACACCCTCAATTCAAAACGAAAAGAGGGCACACGTACAAGTTCTGTGTGGGCTTTCATTCGGACCAGGTCTTGTTCGCCTGAACCGACCAAAGGCGTTACTTCTAGTAGGATCCTCGTCTTGACCATGTTACTACTACTAACCGTGACCCGCCCTAACAAGATTGCATCTAGGTGTTGTTAGGTGCAACCAGTACTTAGCGTTCACTGCTTTTCGTATAACTTCTGACCGTCGGCTCTTAATCATCGTTCAACTTACCGATCGCTGTTCTGATTGGCCAATTGCCATCCGCCATCGGCTCGGTAATGTGATCGCCATGTATGACGGCTCGAGCAACGAACCTTCACCCGAGCGATGAGCTGATAACTCCGCAGCCCTCCTGCTTACCTAATTGTCAGGTCATAAATGAGGCGCTTTTGATAGTAGTTTGTCGGAAGTTTTAAATGCGTTTGCACCGCACCAGCTTACGGGCTTTCAGACACACCTCGCAGTCACACCTCGCTGATACATTATAACCCGCAACTTAAGAATCACCTGACACGCGTCGCAGACACATTGTATGACTGAATTGCTCACCTTTCCGCGTGCAATCTCAACGGTTCCGTCTGTTTCCGTAACATTCGTGTAAAGCGCTTCAAGCTTTGGGTCCGGGACGTCATTGCGACGCCTTTGCGACGTCTTTGCGACGCCTTTGCGACGTCATTGCGACGCCTTTGCGACGTCGTTGCGATTGTGTCAAATTAGCTTAGGTTGGGGCACGCCACGTAGCAATGTTTCAATTGGAGAAGTTTCTATCCCAGCCGCACGGGTGGGAGGATCTGCGGAGCAGCGTACTTGCGAGCTTAGTGCTGGCGTGTAAAAACTAGTAGGGCTGGAGCTAGGGCTGGAGCTAGGGTTGGAGCTACTACTAGGTTTGGAGCTAGGGTTGGAACTGGGTAGGGCTAGTGACAGGTTTAGGAGATTAGGCTGGCTTCGTAATAACACGCGCGACGAGGAGAATAAAGAGCTGGGGGCAGCGGCAGCAGAGCAGCAGAGGTGGCGCCGTTATCGAGTCTGCTAAAGAAATAACTATCTCTTATTGCGAAGCTCGATCGCTGGGCGTATGGGCCTGTGCGCTTCGATGTGCAATGGTGGCTCGCAAGAGGAGAAGAAAGCACCTCGTAAGTGATAGCTGGTCGGTTCTTGAACCACTGCGCGGCTGTTATTCGAAATGAGAGAGCGTACTTATAGTTCAGAACTACCAGGGTGTATGAACCTGTGCGTTTCGGCATGACGTTTACGCGCGTCTACATGGCGTTTCTGCGCGTCTACATGGCGTTTCTGCGCTTCTATATGCATTATCGGATTACAAGTGGTGAAAAAGGCGCCTCTTGAGTGGCTTGCCATTCTTGCTTTCCTTCGAAATTTGTGTCTCTCGCCCTGCTTTTTACACATCATGCCAGCCATCATCCTTGCATCCATTCACCACCCTCCCCACCCTCCCCTCCCTTTGCCTCCTCCCCTTGCCTCCTCAAGGTACCTACCTATACCATACTCACCTATGCACATCAGTATCGGAGTTGCTTTTACGTGATTCCTCCTCTCCCCTCGCTTCCGCCCTTACCTCCCTGGCCCCCTTGTTCCCTCAATAGCCCTGTTCCTTCATCCTCGCCCCTTCCCCCTTTCCTCTCCCGTCCCCACTCCCTCCCCTTTCTCCTCCCCCTCCCCGTTCCACGTGTCGCTACCACAGAAGCCACGCTCCACGTGTCACTACCACAGGAGTTTAAGTACGAGGTGCTATTAGCAGCAACTAACAACTTCGACCAATCAGCCGTGCTGGGCGAGGGGGGGTTCGGGAAGGTCTACAAGGCCGCGATTCGCGGAGGCAAGGGGGAGGCGAATGGGAACGGCGGAGAGGGGAAGGGAGAAGGTGCGGCAGCGGTGGTTGCGGGACAGGCAGTGGCGATTAAAGTGCTGAATAGTTCCGGGAAGACGAGCGGTTACCGGGAATGGGTGGTGAGTGTCATAGTTTATTCTCGTGGTTATTATCTTAGTAAATACTGTGGTGTATTAACTTTAGTTTACTATCAGAGTCGATCTCTTTGACTCCCCCCTTCCCTCAACCTGGTCTGTCTAAAAAGTGCGGATAGATCAGGCACAATTCTATCGTACCCCTCCCCTTTTTCCTTTTCCCTTTCCCCCCAATCGATTTCTGAATCGCCTCTCCCACCCCAATCTCGTCAGTCTGTCATCTCCTCTTCAGACCTTCCCCCCCCCCCCCCACCACTCCTCCGTTCTTCCGTTTTCCGGACGGGGATGCTCATGTTGAAGCGTCTCTCCCACCCCAATCTCGTCAGTCTGTCATCTCCTCTTCAGACCTTCCCCTCTCCCCTCCCCACACCACTCCCCCCCGCTCCCACTCCCCCCCCCCCCCCCCCCTTACTACGCCTCCGGTCGTCCTTTCTCAGACGGAGGTTCTGATGCTAGAGCGCCTCTCCCACCCCAACCTCGTCAGTCTCTTCATCGTCTTACTTATTGTACATACCTTCACGCCGCCCCTCCCGTCCTCAATCCCCCTCTCCTCCTGGCTCAGACGGAAGTGCTGATGCTAGAGCGCCTCTCCCACCCCAACCTCGCCATCTGCGAGGCTACTATGCTCACGGCAAAAACCTGAATTCTTCCGCTCTTATCCCTCCCAAGCCCTTACCCTTTACCCCCGCCATTCTTGCTGCTGCTTCATCTTGTGTTTCTCAGACGGAAGTGCTGATGCTAGAGCGCCTCTCCCACCCCGCCCGGCCTCGTCAGCCTGCGCGGGTACTGCGCTCACGGCGAGATGGGCTTGTCTCATCCTCCTATCCCCGCCACGTGTAGAAAGAACATTTTTGAGACGTCTCAAAGATGGGCTTGTCTCGTCCTCCTAACCCCGCCCCTTCGCTCCCGACTCCCCCCCTTTTGAGGCGCCTCAAAAGTAACCCCGCCCCTTCTCTCCCGACTCCCCCCCCCCCCACCCCCTACTTCCCCCTCCCCCCTTTCCTGGCAAACCCTAATCTTGGTTTAGCAGACGGAAGTGCTCATGTTGGAACGCCTCTCCCACCCGAGCCTGGTCAGCCTGCCATCCAGCCCCCCAACAGCCCCCCAACAGCCCCCCAACAGCCCCCCAATAACCCCCCAACAACCCCCCCTTCCTCCCCCCTTGCTCCTCCCTCCTTGCCTTTCGCAGACGGAAGTGCTCATGTTGGAACGCCTCTCCCACCCCAACCTGGTCAGCCTGCGCGGCTACTGCGCTCACGGCGAGATGGCGTTTCTCGTGTACGAATACGTGTCCAAGGGCGCGCTCAACTACCACCTCTTTTCCAGTGAGTGATTACCACCACCTCCGTTTCCCCCCTCCCCTTCCCCTACTGCCTCATCTGTTGGTCGCCCAAAGACCCTGCGTGTGTGTGTGCATCTCACCTGCACGGTTACTGCGCGCACGGCGACTTGGCCGTCCTCCTCGTGTATGAATACGTGTCCAAGGGCGCACTCAACTACCACCTCTTTTCCAGTGAGTCCCTTCGTCCCCAACCAACCTCCCTCCCCTTCTGCCTTACTCGCGAGTTTGTGAAAGAGGCAGTGTAAGTGCGCACGGCGACTTGGCCGTCCTCCTCGTGTATGAATACGTGTCCAAGGGCGCACTCAACTACCACCTCTTTTCCAGTGAGTCCCTTCGTCCCCAACCAACCTCCCTCCCCTTCTGCCTTACTCGCGAGTTTGTGAAAGAGGCAGTGTAAGTGCGCACGGCGACTTGGCCGTCCTCCTCGTGTATGAATACGTGTCCAAGGGCGCACTCAACTACCACCTCTTTTCCAGTGAGTCCCTTCGTCCCCAACCAACCTCCCTCCCCTTCTGCCTTACTCGCGAGTTTGTGAAAGAGGCAGTGTAAGTGCGCACGGCGACTTGGCCGTCCTCCTCGTGTATGAATACGTGTCCAAGGGCGCACTCAACTACCACCTCTTTTCCAGTGAGTCCCTTCGTCCCCAACCAACCTCCCTCCCCTTCTGCCTTACTCGCGAGTTTGTGAAAGAGGCAGTGTAAGTGCGCACGGCGACTTGGCCGTCCTCCTCGTGTATGAATACGTGTCCAAGGGCGCACTCAACTACCACCTCTTTTCCAGTGAGTCCCTTCGTCCCCAACCAACCTCCCTCCCCTTCTGCCTTACTCGCGAGTTTGTGAAAGAGGCAGTGTAAGTGCGCACGGCGACTTGGCCGTCCTCCTCGTGTATGAATACGTGTCCAAGGGCGCACTCAACTACCACCTCTTTTCCAGTGAGTCCCTTCGTCCCCAACCAACCTCCCTCCCCTTCTGCCTTACTCGCGAGTTTGTGAAAGAGGCAGTGTAAGTGCGCACGGCGACTTGGCCGTCCTCCTCGTGTATGAATACGTGTCCAAGGGCGCACTCAACTACCACCTCTTTTCCAGTGAGTCCCTTCGTCCCCAACCAACCTCCCTCCCCTTCTGCCTTACTCGCGAGTTTGTGAAAGAGGCAGTGTAAGTGCGCACGGCGACTTGGCCGTCCTCCTCGTGTATGAATACGTGTCCAAGGGCGCACTCAACTACCACCTCTTTTCCAGTGAGTCCCTTCGTCCCCAACCAACCTCCCTCCCCTTCTGCCTTACTCGGAGTTTGTGAAAGAGGCAGTGTAAGTGCGCACGGCGACTTGGCCGTCCTCCTCGTGTATGAATACGTGTCCAAGGGCGCACTCAACTACCACCTCTTTTCCAGTGAGTCCCTTCGTCCCCAACCAACCTCCCTCCCCTTCTGCCTTACTCGCGAGTTTGTGAAAGAGGCAGTGTAAGTGCGCACGGCGACTTGGCCGTCCTCCTCGTGTATGAATACGTGTCCAAGGGCGCACTCAACTACCACCTCTTTTCCAGTGAGTCCCTTCGTCCCCAACCAACCTCCCTCCCCTTCTGCCTTACTCGCGAGTTTGTGAAAGAGGCAGTGTAAGTGCGCACGGCGACTTGGCCGTCCTCCTCGTGTATGAATACGTGTCCAAGGGCGCACTCAACTACCACCTCTTTTCCAGTGAGTCCCTTCGTCCCCAACCAACCTCCCTCCCCTTCTGCCTTACTCGCGAGTTTGTGAAAGAGGCAGTGTAAGTGCGCACGGCGACTTGGCCGTCCTCCTCGTGTATGAATACGTGTCCAAGGGCGCACTCAACTACCACCTCTTTTCCAGTGAGTCCCTTCGTCCCCAACCAACCTCCCTCCCCTTCTGCCTTACTCGCGAGTTTGTGAAAGAGGCAGTGTAAGTGCGCACGGCGACTTGGCCGTCCTCCTCGTGTATGAATACGTGTCCAAGGGCGCACTCAACTACCACCTCTTTTCCAGTGAGTCCCTTCGTCCCCAACCAACCTCCCTCCCCTTCTGCCTTACTCGCGAGTTTGTGAAAGAGGCAGTGTAAGTGCGCACGGCGACTTGGCCGTCCTCCTCGTGTATGAATACGTGTCCAAGGGCGCACTCAACTACCACCTCTTTTCCAGTGAGTCCCTTCGTCCCCAACCAACCTCCCTCCCCTTCTGCCTTACTCGCGAGTTTGTGAAAGAGGCAGTGTAAGTGCGCACGGCGACTTGGCCGTCCTCCTCGTGTATGAATACGTGTCCAAGGGCGCACTCAACTACCACCTCTTTTCCAGTGAGTCCCTTCGTCCCCAACCAACCTCCCTCCCCTTCTGCCTTACTCGCGAGTTTGTGAAAGAGGCAGTGTAAGTGCGCACGGCGACTTGGCCGTCCTCCTCGTGTATGAATACGTGTCCAAGGGCGCACTCAACTACCACCTCTTTTCCAGTGAGTCCCTTCGTCCCCAACCAACCTCCCTCCCCTTCTGCCTTACTCGCGAGTTTGTGAAAGAGGCAGTGTAAGTGCGCACGGCGACTTGGCCGTCCTCCTCGTGTATGAATACGTGTCCAAGGGCGCACTCAACTACCACCTCTTTTCCAGTGAGTCCCTTCGTCCCCAACCAACCTCCCTCCCCTTCTGCCTTACTCGCGAGTTTGTGAAAGAGGCAGTGTAAGTGCGCACGGCGACTTGGCCGTCCTCCTCGTGTATGAATACGTGTCCAAGGGCGCACTCAACTACCACCTCTTTTCCAGTGAGTCCCTTCGTCCCCAACCAACCTCCCTCCCCTTCTGCCTTACTCGCGAGTTTGTGAAAGAGGCAGTGTAAGTGCGCACGGCGACTTGGCCGTCCTCCTCGTGTATGAATACGTGTCCAAGGGCGCACTCAACTACCACCTCTTTTCCAGTGAGTCCCTTCGTCCCCAACCAACCTCCCTCCCCTTCTGCCTTACTCGCGAGTTTGTGAAAGAGGCAGTGTAAGTGCGCACGGCGACTTGGCCGTCCTCCTCGTGTATGAATACGTGTCCAAGGGCGCACTCAACTACCACCTCTTTTCCAGTGAGTCCCTTCGTCCCCAACCAACCTCCCTCCCCTTCTGCCTTACTCGCGAGTTTGTGAAAGAGGCAGTGTAAGTGCGCACGGCGACTTGGCCGTCCTCCTCGTGTATGAATACGTGTCCAAGGGCGCACTCAACTACCACCTCTTTTCCAGTGAGTCCCTTCGTCCCCAACCAACCTCCCTCCCCTTCTGCCTTACTCGCGAGTTTGTGAAAGAGGCAGTGTAAGTGCGCACGGCGACTTGGCCGTCCTCCTCGTGTATGAATACGTGTCCAAGGGCGCACTCAACTACCACCTCTTTTCCAGTGAGTCCCTTCGTCCCCAACCAACCTCCCTCCCCTTCTGCCTTACTCGCGAGTTTGTGAAAGAGGCAGTGTAAGTGCGCACGGCGACTTGGCCGTCCTCCTCGTGTATGAATACGTGTCCAAGGGCGCACTCAACTACCACCTCTTTTCCAGTGAGTCCCTTCGTCCCCAACCAACCTCCCTCCCCTTCTGCCTTACTCGCGAGTTTGTGAAAGAGGCAGTGTAAGTGCGCACGGCGACTTGGCCGTCCTCCTCGTGTATGAATACGTGTCCAAGGGCGCACTCAACTACCACCTCTTTTCCAGTGAGTCCCTTCGTCCCCAACCAACCTCCCTCCCCTTCTGCCTTACTCGCGAGTTTGTGAAAGAGGCAGTGTAAGTGCGCACGGCGACTTGGCCGTCCTCCTCGTGTATGAATACGTGTCCAAGGGCGCACTCAACTACCACCTCTTTTCCAGTGAGTCCCTTCGTCCCCAACCAACCTCCCTCCCCTTCTGCCTTACTCGCGAGTTTGTGAAAGAGGCAGTGTAAGTGCGCACGGCGACTTGGCCGTCCTCCTCGTGTATGAATACGTGTCCAAGGGCGCACTCAACTACCACCTCTTTTCCAGTGAGTCCCTTCGTCCCCAACCAACCTCCCTCCCCTTCTGCCTTACTCGCGAGTTTGTGAAAGAGGCAGTGTAAGTGCGCACGGCGACTTGGCCGTCCTCCTCGTGTATGAATACGTGTCCAAGGGCGCACTCAACTACCACCTCTTTTCCAGTGAGTCCCTTCGTCCCCAACCAACCTCCCTCCCCTTCTGCCTTACTCGCGAGTTTGTGAAAGAGGCAGTGTAAGTGCGCACGGCGACTTGGCCGTCCTCCTCGTGTATGAATACGTGTCCAAGGGCGCACTCAACTACCACCTCTTTTCCAGTGAGTCCCTTCGTCCCCAACCAACCTCCCTCCCCTTCTGCCTTACTCGCGAGTTTGTGAAAGAGGCAGTGTAAGTGCGCACGGCGACTTGGCCGTCCTCCTCGTGTATGAATACGTGTCCAAGGGCGCACTCAACTACCACCTCTTTTCCAGTGAGTCCCTTCGTCCCCAACCAACCTCCCTCCCCTTCTGCCTTACTCGCGAGTTTGTGAAAGAGGCAGTGTAAGTGCGCACGGCGACTTGGCCGTCCTCCTCGTGTATGAATACGTGTCCAAGGGCGCACTCAACTACCACCTCTTTTCCAGTGAGTCCCTTCGTCCCCAACCAACCTCCCTCCCCTTCTGCCTTACTCGCGAGTTTGTGAAAGAGGCAGTGTAAGTGCGCACGGCGACTTGGCCGTCCTCCTCGTGTATGAATACGTGTCCAAGGGCGCACTCAACTACCACCTCTTTTCCAGTGAGTCCCTTCGTCCCCAACCAACCTCCCTCCCCTTCTGCCTTACTCGCGAGTTTGTGAAAGAGGCAGTGTAAGTGCGCACGGCGACTTGGCCGTCCTCCTCGTGTATGAATACGTGTCCAAGGGCGCACTCAACTACCACCTCTTTTCCAGTGAGTCCCTTCGTCCCCAACCAACCTCCCTCCCCTTCTGCCTTACTCGCGAGTTTGTGAAAGAGGCAGTGTAAGTGCGCACGGCGACTTGGCCGTCCTCCTCGTGTATGAATACGTGTCCAAGGGCGCACTCAACTACCACCTCTTTTCCAGTGAGTCCCTTCGTCCCCAACCAACCTCCCTCCCCTTCTGCCTTACTCGCGAGTTTGTGAAAGAGGCAGTGTAAGTGCGCACGGCGACTTGGCCGTCCTCCTCGTGTATGAATACGTGTCCAAGGGCGCACTCAACTACCACCTCTTTTCCAGTGAGTCCCTTCGTCCCCAACCAACCTCCCTCCCCTTCTGCCTTACTCGCGAGTTTGTGAAAGAGGCAGTGTAAGTGCGCACGGCGACTTGGCCGTCCTCCTCGTGTATGAATACGTGTCCAAGGGCGCACTCAACTACCACCTCTTTTCCAGTGAGTCCCTTCGTCCCCAACCAACCTCCCTCCCCTTCTGCCTTACTCGCGAGTTTGTGAAAGAGGCAGTGTAAGTGCGCACGGCGACTTGGCCGTCCTCCTCGTGTATGAATACGTGTCCAAGGGCGCACTCAACTACCACCTCTTTTCCAGTGAGTCCCTTCGTCCCCAACCAACCTCCCTCCCCTTCTGCCTTACTCGCGAGTTTGTGAAAGAGGCAGTGTAAGTGCGCACGGCGACTTGGCCGTCCTCCTCGTGTATGAATACGTGTCCAAGGGCGCACTCAACTACCACCTCTTTTCCAGTGAGTCCCTTCGTCCCCAACCAACCTCCCTCCCCTTCTGCCTTACTCGCGAGTTTGTGAAAGAGGCAGTGTAAGTGCGCACGGCGACTTGGCCGTCCTCCTCGTGTATGAATACGTGTCCAAGGGCGCACTCAACTACCACCTCTTTTCCAGTGAGTCCCTTCGTCCCCAACCAACCTCCCTCCCCTTCTGCCTTACTCGCGAGTTTGTGAAAGAGGCAGTGTAAGTGCGCACGGCGACTTGGCCGTCCTCCTCGTGTATGAATACGTGTCCAAGGGCGCACTCAACTACCACCTCTTTTCCAGTGAGTCCCTTCGTCCCCAACCAACCTCCCTCCCCTTCTGCCTTACTCGCGAGTTTGTGAAAGAGGCAGTGTAAGTGCGCACGGCGACTTGGCCGTCCTCCTCGTGTATGAATACGTGTCCAAGGGCGCACTCAACTACCACCTCTTTTCCAGTGAGTCCCTTCGTCCCCAACCAACCTCCCTCCCCTTCTGCCTTACTCGCGAGTTTGTGAAAGAGGCAGTGTAAGTGCGCACGGCGACTTGGCCGTCCTCCTCGTGTATGAATACGTGTCCAAGGGCGCACTCAACTACCACCTCTTTTCCAGTGAGTCCCTTCGTCCCCAACCAACCTCCCTCCCCTTCTGCCTTACTCGCGAGTTTGTGAAAGAGGCAGTGTAAGTGCGCACGGCGACTTGGCCGTCCTCCTCGTGTATGAATACGTGTCCAAGGGCGCACTCAACTACCACCTCTTTTCCAGTGAGTCCCTTCGTCCCCAACCAACCTCCCTCCCCTTCTGCCTTACTCGCGAGTTTGTGAAAGAGGCAGTGTAAGTGCGCACGGCGACTTGGCCGTCCTCCTCGTGTATGAATACGTGTCCAAGGGCGCACTCAACTACCACCTCTTTTCCAGTGAGTCCCTTCGTCCCCAACCAACCTCCCTCCCCTTCTGCCTTACTCGCGAGTTTGTGAAAGAGGCAGTGTAAGTGCGCACGGCGACTTGGCCGTCCTCCTCGTGTATGAATACGTGTCCAAGGGCGCACTCAACTACCACCTCTTTTCCAGTGAGTCCCTTCGTCCCCAACCAACCTCCCTCCCCTTCTGCCTTACTCGCGAGTTTGTGAAAGAGGCAGTGTAAGTGCGCACGGCGACTTGGCCGTCCTCCTCGTGTATGAATACGTGTCCAAGGGCGCACTCAACTACCACCTCTTTTCCAGTGAGTCCCTTCGTCCCCAACCAACCTCCCTCCCCTTCTGCCTTACTCGCGAGTTTGTGAAAGAGGCAGTGTAAGTGCGCACGGCGACTTGGCCGTCCTCCTCGTGTATGAATACGTGTCCAAGGGCGCACTCAACTACCACCTCTTTTCCAGTGAGTCCCTTCGTCCCCAACCAACCTCCCTCCCCTTCTGCCTTACTCGCGAGTTTGTGAAAGAGGCAGTGTAAGTGCGCACGGCGACTTGGCCGTCCTCCTCGTGTATGAATACGTGTCCAAGGGCGCACTCAACTACCACCTCTTTTCCAGTGAGTCCCTTCGTCCCCAACCAACCTCCCTCCCCTTCTGCCTTACTCGCGAGTTTGTGAAAGAGGCAGTGTAAGTGCGCACGGCGACTTGGCCGTCCTCCTCGTGTATGAATACGTGTCCAAGGGCGCACTCAACTACCACCTCTTTTCCAGTGAGTCCCTTCGTCCCCAACCAACCTCCCTCCCCTTCTGCCTTACTCGCGAGTTTGTGAAAGAGGCAGTGTAAGTGCGCACGGCGACTTGGCCGTCCTCCTCGTGTATGAATACGTGTCCAAGGGCGCACTCAACTACCACCTCTTTTCCAGTGAGTCCCTTCGTCCCCAACCAACCTCCCTCCCCTTCTGCCTTACTCGCGAGTTTGTGAAAGAGGCAGTGTAAGTGCGCACGGCGACTTGGCCGTCCTCCTCGTGTATGAATACGTGTCCAAGGGCGCACTCAACTACCACCTCTTTTCCAGTGAGTCCCTTCGTCCCCAACCAACCTCCCTCCCCTTCTGCCTTACTCGCGAGTTTGTGAAAGAGGCAGTGTAAGTGCGCACGGCGACTTGGCCGTCCTCCTCGTGTATGAATACGTGTCCAAGGGCGCGCTCAACTACCACCTCTTTTCCAGTGAGTCTTTCCGTTCCCACCCAACCACCCGCCCCCCCCTTACTGCCTTACTCGCGAGTCTGCGAAAGAGCCAGTGTGTGCGCTCACGCATACTGCTTTACCTGTGAGCCGGCCAAAGAGCCTGTCTGTGTGCGTGTTTGAGAATTCTCAAAAACCCGCGTTACCTGGGAGTAGGCCAAAGAGCCATTCCGTGTGCGTGTTTGAGAATTCTCAAAAGCCTGCGTTACCTGTGAGCCGGCCAAAGAGCCTGTCTGTGTGCGTGTTTTGCGTGTTGTCACGATAAATAGCCGCAGATTCGCATGTAGGTAGACGGCGGTGGGCTCTTTCTCTCCTATGAATGAATACGTGTCCAACGGCGCACTCAACTCAACTACCACCTGATTGAAGAAGTGTTTTGAGACGTCTCAAAACACTTCTCAAAACACTTCTTCAATCACTTTCTTATGAATACGTGTCCAAAGGCGCACTCAACTCAACTACCACCTGATTGAAGAAGTGTTTTGAGACGTCTCAAAACACTTCTCAAAACACTTCTTCAATCACTTTCTTATGAATACGTGTCCAAAGGCGCACTCAACTTAACTACCACCGCGGACAACGTCATCCCTTTGTCATGGGCAGCCGCGGCGTGGGGGCAGATAGCCGCAGGGGCAGGGCAGCTGTGACAGTCCCTTTTCTTTCTGAGTCCCGTTCCCCCCTCCCCCACACCTCGTCATCTTTGCTCCACCCATGGCGGCCGACAATGTGATTCCCCTGTCGTGGCAGCAGCGGGTGCAGATAGCTGTTGGGGCAACAACGGGGCTTCTATGCTATCGCCCCATCGCTTGCTGATTCTCCTCCCCTGCTTCTTCACCCACCCTGTCTGTCTGAACAACAGGTGCTGACAATGTGATTCCCCTGTCGTGGCAGCAGCGGGTGCAGATAGCTGTTGGGGCAACAACGGGGCTTCTATGCTATCGCCCCATCGCTTTCTGATTCTCCGCCCCTGCTTCTTCACCCACCCTGTCTGTCTGAACAACAGGTGCTGACAATGTGATTCCCCTGTCGTGGCAGCAGCGGGTGTAGATAGCCGTGGGGGCTGGGGTTGGTTGTTACAGCCCTTCCCTTCAGACTCCCTGACTCTGCACTCCTTTTTCTCCCCACCCTGTTTGTTTGAGCAACAGCGGCCGACAATGTGATTCCCCTGTCGTGGCAGCAGCGGGTGCAGATAGCCGTGGGAGCGGCAACAGGGCTGCACCATTTGCACGAGAGGAACATCATTCACCGCGATTTCAAATCGTCCAACATCCTGCTTGACGATGTGAGTGGGTGGTGTGATGTGAGAGAGTGGTGTGTGCGAGTGGTGTGTGTGAGTGGTGTGTGCGAGTGGTGTGTGCGAGTGGTGTGTGCGAGTGGTGTGTGCGAGTGGTGTGTGGGAGTGGCGTGTGTGAGTGGTGTGTGGGAGTGGTGTGTGGGAGTGGCGTGTGCGAGTGGTGTGTGTGCGCATATGCACGCGCGTGTTGTGTGTGTATATGATGCGTCTATCAAGCTGTACCATCTGCACGGAGAGGAACATAACATTATTCACCGGGATTTCAAGTCGTCCAACATCCTGCTTGACGATGTGAGTGACACGTGCGCCATACATGCCATCTAACACACAAGGGGAGAAGGGGGGGGGGGGGGGGGGGGGAGGGAGGGGGGAGTGGGGAGGGGGGGGTGAGCGGGGGTAGGTGGGCGGCGGCAACAGGGTTGCACCATCTGCACGAGAGGAACATCATTCACCGCGACTTCAAGTCGTCTACAATCTTTGCTTGACGATGTGAGTGATTCATGTGTGATATACGCCATATAACTCATTGCTGTGGGGGCGGCAACAGGGTTGCACCATCTGCACGAGAGAAACATCATTCACCGCGACTTCAAGTCGTCTAACTTTTTGCTTGACGATGTGAGTGGGTGGTGTATGTGTGTGTAGTGTATGCATGCATCGATACGAGATCTGTACATGGAAGAATCGAGGTGCACCAATTCCATGAAAAGAAACATCATTCACCAGAACTTCAAGTTGTTTTATATCCTGCTTGACGATGTGACTGTTCCTTTCCCCTCATTTGGAGCTTGGTGGCCGAAGCGAGCGACTTAGGGCTAGCACAGGTGGGCCCGGTGGGAAATCTATGGTTTTTTTTTAGCGAGTTGACTAATAAGCATTTACCTTCTTTTCGCTCACTCCCTCCCTTTCACCTCCCCGCACTCAGAACTTGGTAGCCGGAGTGAGCGACTTTGGGCTGGCCAAGGTGGGCCCGGTGGGGGTTCGTAGGTTGCGTGTGAGTCGAATTCTATAAACGTCTCCATCTCACTCCCTTCCTCCCTTTTTCACTCTCCCTTTTTCTCTCTCCCTTGTTCTCTCTCCTTTTTCTCTCTCCCTTGTTCTCTCTCCTTTTTCTCTCTCCGTTGTTCTCTCTCCTTTTTCTCTCTCCCTGTTGCTCTTTCCCTTCTTCTCTCCTCATTCAGAACTTGGTGGCCAAAGTGAGTGACTCTGGGCTGGCCAAGGTGGGCCCGGTGGGGGATCAGAGGTGGAACTTGAGTCCAGTGTAAATTATGTTTCTCCCCTTTACTTCCTTTGATCTCTTCTTTGCGCTCCCTCTCTCCTCCCTCCCTCTCTTTCAGAACCTGGTGGCCAAAGTGAGCGACTTTGGGCTGGCCAAGGTGGGCCCGGTGGGGGATCAGAGCTACGTGGAGACCAAGGTGAAGGGCACACCGGGGTATATCGACCCTGCTTACATGGAGAGGGGTGAGTGAGGGATTCAGAGAGGTGAGTGAGGGATTCAGAGAGGTGAGTGAGGGATTCAGAGAGGTGTTTGTGTCTGTCCCTGTCTGTCTGTTCGTTTACCAACGTGTTCCCGGTGGGGGATGAGAGTTACGTGGAGACCAAGGTGAAGGGCACACCGGGATACATCGAATCGACCCAGCGTGCATGGAGAGAGGTGAGTGGGTGCACTTCCCGTAACGGTGTGTGTGTTTGTTTGAGCGATGGTTGTGCGCTCCATGGTTTTTTTTGGGGGGGGGGGGTCACCTTTACCCTTGTGTATGTGTGTGGATTGGTGCTGCTAGAGCTGTATTAGTGGGACCCGTATAACCTCCCTCCCTTCCCCCCTCCCGCCCCCCCTCCTCAGGATGGCTCACTTGGAAGTCTGACGTGTATGCCTTTGGAGTGGTGCTGCTGGAGCTTCTTCTGCTTACAGTGATTGTGTAGCCCTTCTCTCTCTTCCTACCTTCCTCCGCTGGTTGGCTCATGGACGGTGAAGTCTGACGTGTATGCGTTTGGACTGGTGCTGCTAGAGCTGCGGCTTACTGTGAATAGTGAGACACAGACAAGTTACAGCCTCCCTCTGTCCATGCCTCCCTGTCAACCCCCCTTCCTCCCCTCAGGTCGCTTGACGGTGAAGTCTGACGTGTATGCGTTTGGGGTGGTGCTTTTAGAGCTGCTGACTGGCAGGCATGCCACTGACAGCGACAGTGGCAGCTTGGCGCAGTGGGTGTGGGAGGAATCGAAGGTCTACACCCCATCGATAGTTGACGCGAGAATAAAGGATGGGTATTCAGACAAGGGTGGGAGAAAGTTTTTCGCGCTTGCCCGTGCGTGCATAAATGTGAACACTGAGCCCCGACCAGAGATGAGTGACGTGCTAAGTACACTCAATTTGATAAGTAAGATGTGAGGGTATGGAGAGGATGAGATGGGATAAATGAACTTAACCTTGATTGTGATTGCCTTTCTTTTGGCTGCAGAAAGTGTATAACTATCAGATTTGATACAAAACTGCTGTGTTGTCGCTTAACTACTATGGGTTTTGAGTTTAAGGTTTAGGCTCTAGGGTTCAGGGTTTAGGGGTTTAGAGAAACTATTGATAATTACACTTATTCAGGTGACCAACCTAAGTGACGCTACGCTAGGTGACACTGGCGAAAGATTCAGTCGTATATGTAACTGTTTCAAAACTGCTTGCAACACCATTCTTGGAGAGCAATTCTTGTGAACAGAGAGCACAATGGAACTTAGAGCAGCTTCCCTTGGCAAGATCACCCAATCCAGCCAAACCGCAGACAATTTTCGAGACAAATGAAAATTGCCTCGCAAAATTAACGAACGTGGCAGCTTCACTTGGCAAGATTACACAACCACCCAGCCATACCGCAGACCAAGAATCCCAGCCTTCTTCCTCTCCCCTTGCTCCTGCTCCTCCCTTTTGCTGCTACTGCCGACACTGCTGGTGTTGCTGATGTTACTCCTGCTGCTCATACTACTGATACTCATACTGCTGATGCTGCTGCTGATACTTGTCATGTCCACCTTCCGGAACCCTCTGAAGCTCACAGCAGCAGGTGCAGTCAAGGGTCTGTTGGGCTTCACATCCTCACCATCATCGTTATCAGTGAACTCCTCCTTTGCATCTTTTCCCGCGTTCTCTCCCCCCTCGCTCTCTTCAAGAACCGGCAGGGAAGGTGCATCAGCAGCAGCACCATCAACAGCAGTGGCAGCGGTGGCAGAAGCGTCAGCATCGGCGGCAGCGGCCGCAGCAGCAGCAGCAGCAGCTTCAAGACCACCGTTTGCAGAGACAGTGATTACCAGAGACTCCTCTTCTTGCTGCTTCTGCAACTGCTGCTCCTGCACCTGCTGCTCCTGCACCTGCTGCTGCTCCTGTGCACTCGCCTGCTCTCCCCCTAGGCCTCTCCCACTCCCTGCAGCGCCAAGCCCAGCCCACATTGCCACGCGGTTAACAAAACTCGACGATGCAGAAAGCTGCGCAGTCACAGGCTCTACAGCATCCTTTTGACCAGCTGAACCCTCTTCAACCACCTGCTGGATTGTCTGCTGCTGCTGCTGCTGCTGCTGCTGGGGTGGCTGCTGCTGCTGGTTGTACTGATGCAGGGAGGAGAGGTCGATAGACCCAAACATGGGGCTTGTGGGAAAACTCGCAGTGGGGAAGGAAGGAAAGCTCGATCCAGCTCCCAGGATGGAGAACCGGCGAGCAGGTGTGTTGGCGGGGGGGTGGATGCGAGGAGACGTGCTGGGCTCAGGAGAAAACCCGCCTGTGCCGCACGAAGCATCGGAGAGGCTTCGTGTGTCGTATGGCTCTGAGTCGGAGCACGCGTGATTGTCATCCTCCTTGTCGTTTTGGTGAGTGTCGTTGTCATGACGGTCGTTTGGTTGAGGGTTGCTCAAAAGGGCGTTTTCTGGGAGAGGGTCGATCGGGTGAGCGTCGCCGGGCGGGTATTGGTGGTTGTCGTGGGGTTTGGCGGAGGGTTTGGAGTGCCACTGCTGCCACTGCTGCAGGAGCGAGGGCTTGAGTGTGGACACAGGTTGGGCGTCTTGAGAGGCTGACGTGTTGGCCCTGGGAAGCTGCGCCTTGGCTTGCGGGCCCACCACTATATCCTCCATCATCTCGTATACCTACAAAAGCGGGGTGCAGTGGGATAAGGGGTGGAAAAAGGGAGAGGAAAGGGTAAGAGGAGAGCGTGCAGAGGTGGAGAGCTGGGCCGTGGCATGTGGTGTCATCACTATATCCCTGCATCATCTTTTTTACCTGCGACAAGAAAGGGTAGGAGGGAGGGAAGGAGGGGTGGGTAAGGTGAGAGTGAGGGGGACAAAGGGAGTGAACACACAGGTGGGGGGCCACGCCAAATGCATCAAACGTTAGACAGGGAAGAGCGCCTGCAATTGCCTCGCCTGGTCCCGCTACGGCTACTCACAAGGCACACGTTGGTTATCTTGTCATCGCTCATTCCCCTCGTGCATGCGCCAGCCACGTAGCGGCAGCACTCCGCCACGCGGGCTCTGATGTGCCCATTTGCTGTTGCCTGTACACAGGCCTCTCCCTCCCCCTCCTCCTCCCCCTCCTCCTCCCCCTCCCCTTCCCCCTCCCCTTCCCCTTCCTCCTCCTCCTCCCCATCTTGCTTCCAAGCTGCTGCTGCTGCTACGTCTGAACCATTAACACGCACCCAGCCATCCTGTCGTCTTGCGGGGAGAGAAGACGAGGAGGAGGTGGTGGGGGGAGTGTGGTATGCTGAGGCAGCGGCAGAGAATCCAGCGACAACGAGTGCGGTGAAGAGCTCTGCAAAGAGGTGGGATGGGGGAATGCTCTCCAGCCAGGTAAGGCTCTTCTCCCTGGCGGAATGGAGGAGGGGAGGAGGGGAGAAGAAGGGAAACACACTTGAACAGCTGAGGCAGGGGAGGAGGGGAGAGGAAGAAAGGAAGGAGGGGAGAGAAAGGAAGCGATAAGCAGCTGAAATAGCAGTGGCGGTACCAGCAGGGGCAGGAGTGACAAGAGCACGACCAAACCAGTGTGTACGGGGAGGGAGCAGGGAGGGAAGCTTACGCAGCATAGTCGTAGTCCACCAAGGGGGGTTGGAGAGCGATGGGCAGCGGTCGAGCGCGGTTCCACAGCTGCTGCCACAGGTTATCTGTGAGACACATCAGGGGAAGGCTCTTGTGAGACCATAATCTTTTGACACAAAGGCTAGACACAACGAGCAAAGCTGTTACTCTCTAATAGGGAAGAGTGAAGCGATGATGGACAGAGCTGATTCACTGACCTGAAGCCTTCATCCGCACGCTGAGGTAACCCGTCTTTTTGGGTGTAGAGTCAATTCTTCCCCCTGCAGCGCTCCCTGCAGCCTGGCCTAGTTTCTCTCGGCCGTGAGACGCGGCACAGGAAGCAGCACATGTGGCGGCACAGGAAGCAGCACATGTGGCGGCACAGGAAGCAGCACATGTGGCAGCACAGGAAGCAGCACATGTGGCAGCACAGGAAGCAGCACATGTGGCAGCACAGGAAGCAGCACATGTGGCAGCACAGGAAGCAGCACATGTGGCGGCACAGGAAGCAGCACATGTGGCGGCACAGGAAGCAGCACATGTGGCAGCACAGGAAGCAGCACATGTGGCAGCACAGGAAGCAGCACATGTGGCGGCACAGGAAGCAGCACATGTGGCAGCACAGGAAGCAGCACATGTGGCAGCACAGGAAGCAGCACATGTGGCGGCACAGGAAGCAGCACATGTGGCGGCACAGGAAGCAGCACATGTGGCAGCACAGGAAGCAGCACATGTGGCAGCACAGGAAGCAGCACATGTGGCGGCACAGGAAGCAGCACATGTGGCGGCACAGGAAGCAGCACATGTGGCAGCACAGGAAGCAGCACATGTGGCAGCACAGGAAGCAGCACATGTGGCGGCACAGGAAGCAGCACATGTGGCAGCACAGGAAGCAGCACATGTGGCAGCACAGGAAGCAGCACATGTGGCGGCACAGGAAGCAGCACATGTGGCGGCACAGGAAGCAGCACATGTGGCAGCACAGGAAGCAGCACATGTGGCAGCACAGGAAGCAGCACATGTGGCGGCACAGGAAGCAGCACATGTGGCAGCACAGGAAGCAGCACATGTGGCAGCACAGGAAGCAGCACATGTGGCGGCACAGGGAGTCTTTGCCTCGGAAGCAAGTTCACGTGTGTGGGAGGTGGGTGAGGGGAGCGAGGCCGAGTCGAGAGTGGGTGTTTGTACAGTGGGAGGTTTGGCAGACGGTGTATGGGGAGAGGGTGAGTGAACGGAAGGCGACTGAGGGAGTGGCGACCAGTCGGGTGGGGAGTACCAGCGAACAAAGTCCTCCAAGACACACCCGGGGTTGGCCGCCTGTGGGGGGGAAACGGGGTGGATGAACGAGAGGGAGGGAGAGAAGGAGAGAGGTGACAGGGAGAAGGGTTGGATGAAAGGGAGAAAGGGAGAGGAAGATGAGGCACGGCATGAGAGGTGGCTGGGCATAAGACAGGAATACAATACGGCAGGAAAGTCACTTGTTTCAGCATGAGTCCACCACGCATTGGACCTCACTGGTTTACGTTTCACTCTGAATACATGCTTGCCGTGCCCCACTGCACTGCGGCTCACCTTGAAAGATTGCATGTCCGAGAAGAGCTGCTTGTGACCAGTCCCAAAGCTGCACGCACACACAACGAGGAAAGTAGTTTTAGCAGCAGTTAGGTGGGCCGGGTAGTTGATACAAGGCCGGGATAATGCACAAAAAGGAAGGTCAGCATCGGGCGCAATGCTGGGATGGGATCTACCCAAGCAGACAAGTTGCAGGATTCGAACCAACGCACATCACTCATATGCTGACCTCCTCCCACTCATCTCTTGGTACACATGATAAGCTCCTTGCTCTCCCTTCCTTCCCCGCTCTCCCACACACTCGACTCTGTCATCAGCAGCCCATCCTGAGTCACATTCAAACACGTTACTAGCTTCTCCCACTCACCTCTTAGTGCGCATGATAAGCTCCTCGCTCTCCCGCACACTCGACTCGGTCATCAGAGGCCCGTCCTGGGTCACAGGGATGCACAGCGGCTCGCCGGTCTCCAGCAACCGCAGGCTCTTTGACTGCTCCTTGACGCCCCTCCGCAGCACACGCCTCCCTGACTGCACCCGCGCATAGCATGCGTCAAGGTGATACTCTGCTGCTGCTGCCCCCGGCGCCGCCCCTGGCGATACCTGACCCGTATGCTCCACTGGTGGGTGATTCCCACATGGCAGAGAGCACGTGTCACATAGAAACAGGTGCTGACCTGGACAGTCCCGATTCCAGCACGGCCCCGCTGCCAGATCATCATCCGCACCGCATGAATCATCTCCAGCTCCTCCTGCTCCTCCCCTTGCTGCTGTGTAAAAGGGAGGCTCCTCAGATGAATTCATAATGCGGTCACAGGATTCCATGCCAGCATTGCCCCCTGCTTCAGGCACGGTGCATGTGGCTTCACTACTGCGATTCAGAGTTTCAGTATCTGCCCATTGTGCTTCCAGCGTCTCCTCTGCTCTGCTCTGCTCCTCTGCTCCTCCTAGGCAAACGTCTCTCGCGCTTCTCCCCGCAGCAACAGCACCTTTTGAAGCATCACAGGGCTCTGAGCCGTCAGTGCTTGCTGCTGCCATGTCGCTCCCACAATCAGCCCCTTCTGACAAAACTGCCCTGACATTGCTGCTACTAGGCCTACCCACACCAGCAGCACCTGCAGCAACAGCAAAACCCGCAGCACCTTCTGACAACGATTCCCTGATCTTCCTGCTGCCACCCCTTCCCACAACACCACCACCAGGACCTGTTCCTGCTGCTGCTGAGCCTGGAAGCTTACACGCGAACCCGATAGTCTTGCGTCGGCGCTGGCGGGCGATGCAGCAGTTGAGCAGCTGCAGGTGCTGCATCACCTCGCACAGCCGCAGGTCCGGGCCGTGCCTGCCTGCTGCTACATGCGGCACCGGCACCCCCTGCTTCCACCGCACCCGCAGCTGCAGTGAGGGGCAACAGAATGGAACACCGTGAAAGAGGGAAAAAAGGAAGGGCAACAGTTGTGAGTCGACAAAAAACTTGTCTCAGTTGAGCAGCTGCAGGTGCTGCATCACCTCGCACAGCCGCAGGTCCGGCCCGCCCCTGCCCGCCCCCACGTGCGGCACCGGCACCCCCTGCTTCCACCGCGCCCGCAGCTGCAAGGGAATGCGAGGGGAGAGAGGACAGAGGGAAAACGGGAAAAGAACATCAGAACAGGATGACCTTGATTGTTCCGATAACGCAGCAGCCTCTCTCTCAGGTCCACCTGGATCCGATGGCTTTGTGTCTGCTGCGCTATACTCCTTGCTTCCACCGCGCCCGTAACTGCAAGATAAGACAGACAGGTCACTCACCTGTTCCACCGACGCCAGCCACAGCTGCGCCAGCCACAGCTGCTCCGACCTAAGGCCAGAGTGGTTCCAGCAGCTCACCCGCTCTACCAGCGGGCTCGTTGAGTGGACAGGGCAGCTCACCTGTTCTACGAGCGCCAGCCACAGCTGTGCCATGTCCTTCTCCGAGGGCAGCTCCGCCATGAGCGCAGCAGACACAGGATCCCCCGCAGCCCACCCACCTGCTCCAAGAGCGCCCACAGGGTGGACCCAGCAGCTCACCTGTTCTACCAGCGCCAGCCACAGCTGCGCCATGCCCTTCTCCGAGAGCAGCTCCGCCATGAACGCCGCCACCTGCGCCACAAAGCTGTCCAGATACGACCCATGCACTGAGTGCACCAGAGCGGCCCCTCGGGTCTGCCTAAGGCCAGAGTGGTTCCAACAGCTCACCTGTTCTACCAGCGCCAGCCACAGCTGCGCCATGTCCTTCTCCGAAGGTAGTTCTGCCATGAGCGCCGCCACCTGCGCCACAAAGCTGTCCGGATATGCTCCATGCACTGAGTGCACCAGGGCGGTCGCTGCCAGCGGGGCGGCGTCGCTCGGCTTTTCCTGGGGGGGCTTGCCGTTGCTCGTGCCACTACCGCCGCTGCTGCTGCCGCTGAAGGTGTCGCAGCTGCAATCAAATGCGGCCTCTTCTCCTGTTGTTATAAAAAGAGCACACACAGAAATGAACATCAGGCAGAGTCGTGTTTGTATAAGTGCTATGTGCCTGACTGCGTTAGGGGAAGACAGGGGGGTGTTTGGGAGGGGGGCCTAGCTTCATTCACGACTCTGGTCCGATTCGATTGAAAGCCGTGAGTGGGATGTGCTTGTATCAATGCCCAAGGCGGGCAGCCAATAAAGGTTCCCTAATGGACGAAATGTTAAAAAAAAAACCAGGAATTTTGGGAGCTCTCGAAAGCGACTGAAGATAAAAACCTTGGTACTAACCTAATGAAGCAATAACAAACTTGGGTACTAACCTGAGCTTAAAAGCCTTTGAATCATGTCATCCGTGGTGTCAATGTCGTTTACATTCGATATAGAGGAGAGGGAGAAGGCTCGGCCAATCCCAGCTCCCACAGCCTGTGCGAGGGCAGTGCCCGGCCACTTGCCATTGTGGGCTACCAGGTCCTTGAGCGTCGCAAACGGAGCAGAGTAGCTGCACGCACAGAAGATAACGTTAACGTTAACGTCATGGAAGCATACGGGTTGGTCACTTGTTGTAAGGGGGCCCTCGAAACGAGTATGCGGATGTGGAGTGGATTTCCAACTGGATTCCAGATACGTTGCCAAATCCGAGGCTAAGTAATTCGGTTGATGGTGGTTGATAGTGGTAGATGGTGGAATGCAGTGGTTTTGTGAGGACCAACGGACCTGACAGCCTGGGCGAGATTGCGCAGGAGCACAGAGGATGGGATATTGGGCGGGTCCACGTTTCCTCCAAAGCTGCACACGCTCGTCGTTGTGCTGCAAGTGCTACCATTCATGTCCTGTGAATGCAGTACAGTACATCACAGTACAGTACACCGTTAATATAGTACAGGTACAAACTAAACTTCGCGTCCCCGTGAAATTAACGCTGTCGCTAGTTGTCCTTTTAACGGTAGGGCTTCATCGTTTCAGGTGCCTCAAACATCAATTTCAGGAGATTCTTACCCGTTCCTTAGGATGCCACATGGGAAGCGAGAAAAGCCGTCCGTGCGATCCCACACTGGCAGGGGAGCCGAGGGGAGAAGGGTCCGCAGCACCCCAGTCCTCCTCGTGCTCTAATTCGAGCTCCACCTTCGCCACCACGTAGAAATACCGCTTCCAAAACTCCCGTTCCGAGACCAGCCGAGGCACGAATTCCGAAAAGATTCTGCTCAGGTGATCGTCCGCCTGAATGAACGTAGGGACAAAACGGGATCGGGGAGTTTTAGTCGTCTCGAGATTTGAAAACTGAGAGAAGAAAGGATCACAGAGCACGATCGAACGAACCACGAGATACGGACAGTAAGGTTCAGAAACAAAAGGGTGTCGGAGATCAATGAACTTTCTGATGGTCATTTGTAACGGGTTTTTTTACGGTATTACCTCGAGAATAGCTGGAGCAGAAAGCAGCGCGCTCTCAAGATTCACGTAGTGCTCCGCGCGGTCGTCTGAAACCCCCACCATGAGAAACTTTTGCGGTTCCTGGTGACATCAGAACGTATCCTTACAATTAGGTCAAACGCCTACGTAATGAAAATGACTTAGGAAAAAGAAAAAAAAAAACCCACACACAAACAGAACAAAAAGGACAGAACGGCCTATCCGGTCATATACCTTTGACAGCTCAGCGACTCTTCTGCTGAGTTCTTCCGAGTGGCTGGTCTTGGGGCTTGCCTTGAGCAACCACGGATAACCCCACCCTGCACATTCCAACGGCCGAGCTCTTAGCGAATGTTTTCATGAAGCACTACAAATTAGAATGAACCTACTGTATCATTCTTCTGAGTTAGGAGGACAGAAACTAAGGTAGGTAAGCACCATGAGAAGGCTGCGGGGGTGTTGGTGGGGATGTCGGAAGGCTAGACGGAATCGGCGCTTCTGACGGAGGTGCGTCGCGTCTTAAATCCGTGAATGCGCGCTTAGCCTTGGTGGTCGCTACTTGAAAAGCTGCATCCACAGAGATTTGCCTCTGTCAGTGAACGTCCTGAAACAAACTAAGAAACTCGTGAGCGGCGGAGCTAAGATAACTAACGGAAGGCCTTCTTCCTCACCTGACGTGGCTTTGGAAACGAAGTCTAGGGTTGACATTTGAGAACTATCAGCGACATCAGAATTCTTCTGTTCAGTCATCTTAGCTTCCGAACGCTTGACCTGTAAGAGTCTAACGTCAGGAATGCGAACGTTTGGGACTTTAACCTCTGGAAATCTAACTTCTGCCATCATCCTAGCTGGCGAAAACTTCGCGAACGAGCTACGCTCCTTCTGCGAAGAAGAACGCCGGAGCTCCGAGTCTCCATTCTGATCCTTGTACCACGTAGGTAAAGTCATCCTAGCCATCTAAAAGGTTGAATAACTCAATGCCAAGTCCTCTAAGGGGTGACTGTCAGCGTCAGCGAAACGGGGGATGTGCGAGACTGACGGACTGTCGCGGCTAGGATAGAAATGATGTCCACCAGCATTCGGGAGTCATTTCTCCGGAATTTGCGGAGTCCTCAGACGGTTCTGGACATGGGTGAAAGAACCAGCTAGCATCCCAGTCCAGTGAGAACTGGAATTGATGTGACGTGACTGGTCAATCACGTAGAACGTCATTGGGATTTGGGAGTGGAAAAGGCTGGAAAAGCAGGTTGACTTCTCCATGAGCTGGGTGCGCCCGAGCCGAGTTGGTTGGAGAGTGGAAGACACGTAAGTCTGTGTAGAATGTATGAAAATCACGCGGTGGAGTACGTCCTCATACGGTTGAGCAGGATGAAGTGTGATGCGAGGTCTGGCGGGAAAGATGATGTGGTTTGGTTGGATTTGAGAGACCGACTCACTTTTCCTAAATTGGTAGGATCTATGCGGTTGTCTTGTCACTTGGAGGGAAACGAGAGTAGCATCTTGCCCGGCAGAGTTGCCGTCGTCGTCTGTGTTGTCGTTCTAATTGACGGTTCGGTGTAGTGTGCGTCTCGTTTGCAGTCGTTGGAACAGTCAGCTTCGCCACTTCCCGTCAAAAACCAATCTGTCAGGGATGACAAAACGTCAACTCTTGCAGCCGTCGTGTCATTCCGACACATCGCCGACAGTCGCCAGAGTTGCCAGCGTGATCTGCGGTAACTGAAACTGCAGATTTGGTGTGCTGCCCGGGACTGGTTTGGTTGGTGAGCCGTGGTGAACTGCTTCGAAGCTCCGTGATACCACCATGAACGATCGACAGGCGAGGCGAGGCGATGCCGGTGGTGACGGGGCGGAATGGGCTGGGATGGATGGGTGCGTCTTCAAATGGTTTCCCGCCAGGAGTGCGGCTATAACTCAACAATCTAATCTTAACGCCTAGGGGCGGTACAGTTCTGGTTTAACACAAACATGACGAACAGTTAGTTAATATATCAAAAATTCTAAATGGCAAACGGGATCCACACAATCCAGCAATCAAGCTTAAAGCCCGAGTCCCAAATTGCGAGGCGCGTGGGTCATGCTTTTAAAACTTGACGAAGTGCAGTGTGCAAGCTTTGAAAAGTAGCGCACCTGCAATTTGGGACTTTCGGGTGCTGACACAACCGCCAGGGCGAAATACGTGGGCTGGCTGGGTTTGGCGAAAAAAACGAAATGCCCGAAATCGAAATCACTCGCCAAAACCCAACCCAGAAAAAACCCCTCGCGTCATCCTTTTAAAACTTGTGCAATTTGGGCTTCCGGCTTTAAAGCGACGGTGCACATTTGCCACCCAAAACCCAGAACCCTGGCGAACTGTTACTGCGGATGGAAAGTGTCCGCACGAAATCCTGGTTTTCGCCAGCCAGCACTTTCGCGCTGGCAAGCCTGGTTAAAAAAAAAAACTTCTGAACCCAACACTGCCAAAAGTTGCCCGTCGCTTTAACTCATACGCTCTGAAATTGAAAGGTTTGAAATCAGCTCTTCACTCCGCGCAAATCGGTACACTTTCCGCTAGACAAGAACCATGATGCATATGTCACGGAGCGGCACAACAGTAACGGGAAATGGAATTCGTCCTTGGGAAGGGTACACAAGATAAATGGTATTTGCGTCACATCGCCATTTCTTACCTTATTGCTGACGCGTGTCTATCTCACTGCTAACTTGCAAGTTGCTAATTGCAGCTGCTTTCCTACAAGTCAATCAGTTGACGCTGCCGATCCTGCAAGATCCTGCAATCGTGCTCATCTCTACAGGCAACCAAAGAGGAATGGCTGCAAGGAGGCGCACGTATCATCCTTCATGGAAACTGTCCATAACTTTGGGTCAACGAATCATGTGATTCATCTCGAGAAGCTCGGCACTGCCATCAAGCTTACCCTCAAGAAGGCGAGCCTCAAAGCAGTCAAAGAAAGAGTATGGCTCTAGCACTTCATCGGCACAACCAGATCTCAGCGGCAGCAGCTGTAGCTCCCTCAGTAGTTGGTATAGTTCCCTCACTTACCCTGTGGATGCGTAGGGGTCACCAATTTGTTGTTAAATGAGTAGTAAAGACACCCACATTTCTGCGACACTGAACATAAATGGCTTAGGTGACAGAACCAAGCAAGCCCGGATGTCCGACCGAGCTAGAAAAATGGTTAACTTTAATGTAATGACAGACACTATGATAGCCACAGGCCACCCTTACTGAGGCTAAGTAGTCGCAGCCTCAGCATGGACTAGGCCGGTGGCGGCGGTGTTGTGATCCTCGGTAATCTGCTCTTAAATCTCGCGGCCCAAATTGCGGGGCGCGCTGGCCAAGCTTACTAAGGTTGACGGGGGTGATGTTTTGAGTGCTGTTTGGGTTGCGAAGGGTGGTTACGAGAAGTGAGATGCAATCTGATTGGCCAGATATTTTTTGTCGAATGGAAGAGCAGGGAACAACAACAATATGTTGATTGCAATTTGGGACTCTCGAAGCAAACCCAGGTTGCTCCAAGCGGTTTGCCGTGTCAACGAAAACCCCAAGGGTCTAGCGCGAAACTGGGCGAAAGCAAACAGCCCAACTCCCAACAAGTCAACTTCTTCTCTCGCCACCCAAAGGTCAACCTTACTAAGGTTGAACAATTTGGGCCGCGAGCTTTAAGCTTCCGAGACGTTGTCAAAACACCCTTTTGGTAGGATCCTGCAATCATGCACTCACGTACACGGTTTCGAGCTTACGATATTAGCAGTCTACTTCCCAGTCGACGCTGCATCTAGGAATACCTTCATACCTCACACCTTAGGTCCAGTCATAGACCAGATCGTGCCTTTGTCTCACCTTCTCATAGTCGGTCACCAGAATTTCGTTGAAAACCATCTCCTCGATAGATCATCCAAGCACAACTCCTCGTACAAGAACGGTCGGGCTGCAATGCCTTTCCAAATCTCAGATAATTTTAGGACATTTACACCCTCGGGAAAGGGACTTCACCTTCTATTAGAGGGTGAATACCTCTAGTTCTAGGACAGATCGCAATCTCATGTCGCACACGCTCTTCTCTCATCTTGATCTTGCCGCTCACGACATCTTGGATGAACCCATCTCAAATCACGATTTCGCCATCAAGATAGGCTTGCACCTTCACTTCAATACTAGATATCGTCTGTGCCTTTCGAAGTTACCGCCTGCCATGATCAACAAGCTATGTGTTAGGAAAATCATAGAAGCCACAGTTCAACGGACGAGTGTTAATGTCTGAAGCAATTTTGAGGTTCTTAAGTCATGTTTTAATGCCAGTCTTTGAGCTTACACATGTGAAGAGAATAAATGGGTCCATGCTACAACCTCACACCTCGCCGATGTCATCCCAAAGCTGAAGCAGGAAGCCATGGTTGATCCATACGGGTTCGCTCACATGGACCTATTGAAAGCCAAGTCGCGGCAGCTCAAGGAATATCACGTGTCACATGCAAATTAATGGCGATGGCAAACGACTTCACCACGACCACCATGCTACCTGCGGAGAGGTCACGATCCTTCTACACAAAAAGGATTGCTTTTTAACAACTACCGCCCGATTTCCTTATTTAAATCCTCTTACAAGGATATGGCGAAGGTGGTAGTAGTCCGATCAAAATAGTACTTGACCAGAATATATCTCCACAGCATTACGGCTTCATCCCGGACGCAAGTTGTCTGATGGAATCGCCTTGGTAGCTGCCACCATTGATGCCGCGACGCACGGAAGCAATGATTGGTATCTGTTTAGGTCGAATTCTAGAAGGCATTCGACTTAGTCTCTCGGATTTCATCTTCAAGGTCTTATGAATAATGGGGTTCTCGGTGCGATTCGTATCTTGGGTGGAAGGTTTGCACATCGAAATTACAACAACGGCTAGATAAGCGAGGGATTGCAACTGCGGTCGGAGGTTCTGTCAGAATGTATTTGCTGTCTAGCCTGCAGTGGGGTACTCTGTAATGAGTACAACCCAATTTAGGGTGTTGTACTTGTATCCCAACTCTTGCTAGTGAAACCCCATTCCTCAATTCTCCTTTACAATTTTCTCGACACTCTCCTCACCCTCGAACTTAACTACCAAGGCTCCTAAGCTATGGCTCCCAAGCCCACCTAACTCTACCTACTACTTTAACATGTTATCAGAGCTTAACGTTCCTGGCCTGTGGGCCCACTCGATTCCGCTGCCCTACTGTGTGTCGCGCGCCCCGTGGCGCGCGACATCCCATTTTTCTTCCCGCCACGCGCTCGGAGCGCGTGGCGGTTTTCTGCCCGCCGTGCGCCCCGAGGCGCGCGGCGGGTTCCTACCTCGTCGCGGCGTCTTAGGGGCCCGCGCACTGGCCCCGACCGTCGCCTCGTCGAGGCGTTTTGGGGGCCTGCACGCAGGTCCCTCCCGTCGCCTCGTCGCGGCACTTTCGGGGCCCGCGAGCCGGCCCCTCCCGTTGCCTCGTCGCGGCGCCTTAGGGGCCTGCGCGCGGTTCCCTCTCGTTGCCAGTCGAGGCACTTTTGGGGACCTGCGCGGCTCCCTAGCACATCGCCCGTCAGGGC